TGAAAACACTGCTGTTTGTTTAAACCACCCATTCCTGACATGAGTAGGACCCGGGGAGCGTTCACGGACTCGTCTGGTGCCTTTGCATGGCTTTAAGCGCATTACTAGTGAAGCTCAGAGCTCCTTAGGCAAACTTGGTGAAGCTATAACCTGCATATTCATAAACTATAAGTACAATCTTTTTTCATCTTTCCCCCTTTTTAAAACAGAGCCTCGCGCAGGCACCTATCTAACCACAATCCATTTACAACAGGTTTCCCATCCTCCGTGGGATCACAGGCCTGCCCTGCATCCATCGTGGAGATGGACTCTCAAAGGCCTGGAACCAGAGTCCTCCCAACCTCAGCCTCCCAAGTGGCTAGAAGTACAAGCATGAGTGTCTGCCTCAAACTACTTGTTATATTCCTGAGTTTCATTTTGATTCTGCTATCCTGCAAAGTTTTAAGATAACAAAATCCAAAATAAATGTGCCATATACTCCAAAGAAGACATTCTTTCCTTAAATCTCAGTCACAGGCTTTAATTCTAGCAATACTTTATCTCTAAATGGCTTTCAGAGAATTCTACACTATTCTTATACTATTTCCTACCCTTTGCAATTCAGTCCCTGAATCCTGCAGCCATTTAAACAAACTCTTGATAATGAGCGTGGTGATGGTCAACTAAACAACACAAGGTAATGCACATTTCTCTAACATGCAATCAACCTACAGGCTTTTCTTCTGCAAGTTTTCCATTGCTGATATGAGTCAAGATTTTACAGTAGCAGCATCAAGAGTAATGAGAAAACCTCAGCTGGTCACTGCTGTTATTCATAGAAGGAAAAGGAAAATTCGCCTTTTCATTCCAGCTTACTGGCATTTCCATTTCCTGGGGTTGAAAATAGAGGAGTAATACAGATATAAAACCAGAATGTTTTTCTATTGATAAATGCAATTAATAACTTGTTTTTAGACATATGTTTAAAACTCATAAATGATTTCAGTGACATATGAACTAAACAACATGTGAAAGACACAATAGCTATAAACTTCACTTTATCTAAAATGTAAACGAATTCCCATTTGAGCTAATAATGAAGACAACACTTTGGTATTTTAATAGAATCACCAGCAATAATGGCCTATGGAATACATTAAAAGGTTTCAACTAAGGCATTTAAGAGTATCAGGCATATGTTGTTAAGACTTGAACTTAAGATGCTTTAATTTCCTAATTACTTTTGCATGTTTTGTTCAAAGTTATCCATCATGCCTTTTTCTTCTATGGTTAGGGTATCAGGACCGTTTTTTTTTTTTTTAGCTTTCTAGCCATTAAAAAACAAATTGGTTATCACAAATATTCTAGTGTCTTACTGTTCTGTTTATAGATGCAGTGTCTCCATACCCGTTTAAAGACATGAATCATATATTATTTGAAGCTTTCTTCTGTTCCTTAAAATACCTTTCTAGTGAGTTTATCATTTTTTGTGTTTTAATGTTGTACTATTGGTGATTGAACTCAAAGTCCTGGTCACTCATATGGCTTTTTCACTCAAGGCAAAAAGTGGTAGACACTTCTGGCTCTTTGCTGGTTTAGTGGAAAAGGGTCTCAGACTTTCCTGCCTAGACTGGCTTTGAACCTCCTCCATCCTCAGATCTCAGCCTTCTGAGTAGCTAGGATTACAGGAGTGATCCACCAGCCCAGCTCACACTGCAGGTTTTAATGGTCCTCGGCTGTCCACTCATTCACAAGGCTCACAAGCTGAAGCACTATGGAGGAAGAGGTCAGGCTTGGAGGCTTCTTTCAGCTGGCAAACCTCCCCCTGCAGTGGATTTTTGTCAGGGACCTGAAAATGTCGGCTGTTTTCCACGGTAGGGCAGTCCCATCTCCTGTCAGAAGTCAGCTTTCTGAATGCAGGCAGGCAGAGAGGTGTGGTCCCACAGGCGGGCTCCTGGGCCTGGTGATATGAAGGCTGAAAACTCCATTTCTTCAACCTCCCTGTCTTCTGCCCGTGGGACAGAGCTCTGTGTGCCTACATGACTGAAATCCCCTTGTGTCGTATCCTACGCAATCCGATTTCAGCCCTGACTCTGGGGGGACACGGCAGCTGAATTCTGAGTCTGGGCTCCCTGAGGCCAAGTCTGCTCACTTCCTTAGATTCCTCTGGGCTCCACTGGGGTGTTTGTGGATTGTCCTCACTCTATGAAGTGATCTTCTTCCCCCACATATGATGTCTTCCACTTTAGTCCAGCCCTGGAAATACCCACCTTGATCAAAGATGAAGTGAGATTTCTTTCTTCTTGTCTTGAGGTGATTGAATCCTACTCCATTGCAAACACTGCCTCTACCATGGTGTTTTTTTCTAAGCTTATCACCTTCAAGTCTTGCTTTCATCATTTCAAAGTACAAATAAAGGCAGTGGAATTTCCTTAAATTTTTCCAGCCTAGTTTGTAAAAGGTGTTATGAATACTTGCCATCTATTTCAACTGCCATCTATTTTTAAGGGAGCGTATTTATCAAATTTTATCATTCAGTCGTTCCAAATAGTCTAAAATGAAATTCCAGTTAAAGGACATTAGAAGCATTTTGAAAAATATCTGTGTCATAAAGTCATATCCAAAACAACAATTTAAAAAATGTATCCAGTTCCTTGTTCTCTGTGCAAATGAAACTCAAAGAAAATCATACCAGGCATGAGACCTAAAACATACACACACATGTACACACGCATGCACACAATACATGCCTATGCAGTCAGTTGTATAAGATGGGCAAAGAGACTGTAAAATAAAGTACCTCATTAGGGATGTCCTAGCATTAATGGAGAGGTGAGTTTGGTCCCACAACGTCATCCCTGCCTTTAGTCTGAGCAATCTGATTTTTATTGCTTTAACCTAATTCATTGATAATTAAGACTTACTAAATTAAAGGTGCTCAAGGAAATCTCAAGTCTTTTTAAACATTACCAAGTATTTGAGATTTAAAATTAAAAGGGAAGGTGGCTCAGTGGTAGAGCGCTTGCCTTGCATGCATGAGGCCCTGGGTTCAATTCCTCAGCACCACATATGCAGAAAAAAAAAAAGCTGGAAGTGGCGCTGTGGCTCAAGTGGTAGAGCACTAGCCTTGAGCTGAAGAGCTGAGGGACAGCGCCCAGGCCCAGAGTTCAAGCCCTACAACTGGACCCCCAAAAATAAATAAAAGTATGCAATTTACAAACACCCTTTCATGATCAATTAATGAAAAATTCTCCCCATTTGGCAACAAAATCTGAGGCTGTAAAATTTGTGTAGCTAATGTTTTCCACTTTATCCCAGATCCCAACCCAATGACTACAATGCTCCTGAAAAAGATCATCTCCCCTTTCTGTGCATCTGAACTACCTGGGGGCTCACACACCACCTGGCTGCACCCCCAAGTTTCTGATGCAGAATTACTGCAAGCCCAGGAACATATTTCTCACATGGTCTCTGGGAGGCTGATGTTGCTCGTCTGGGGACTTACGTTTGGGAACCACCAGTGTATGAGACTCTTCGCAACCTCTCCTATATACTTTAAGAAAAGTAATTAGTACTTCTTTGCTTTCCAAGTTTACTCTGTACTCTGTGCCCTCTTCATGCCCATGCTGCCACCATTTCGTCTCTAGTATCTCTAGACTCTTGCTGAGCTCTTGGTCCCTCGCTTTCCCCATACGGATGCGAAGACTGCTCTCCACTCCCAAAGCCAGGAACAAAGTGCTCATCTCCCTGTGGCTCTCGCCTCAGGGTTCTTAGGCAGCCATTCCCCCACCAAATTTCAGTCTCTTCTACAAGTCAGATGTTTAAAAACAGGACCTTTTCATTTGGTCCAGGCTGGCCTCGAACTTGTGATCCTTCTGCCAAGTAAACTATCAGGCAAAGTCATCTGTGAATCAGCTAACAGTCCCAGCAGAAAACAAATAGGATTCTTGAATTGGTGTAAAAGAGTGGCCTGGATATAAGAAAACCAGATCAGAGAGCATAGGGAGCTGGAGAGGTAGAACGAGGGAGAAATCTTTGTCATTCTTCAGAGGAATAGTGAAGGGGATACAACATTCCCAGAAGCAGAGGGGCATTGAGTGAGGCCAGTCACCTGAGTTATGAGTCACAGCAGCACCATGAATGTGGGGAACAGGAACCACCACCACCAACACTAAGCAAGTAAAACCTCAGTCTCCTTCCCCACCAACATACCAGTTATATTGCTAGAGCTCCAAAATGGCTGAGACAACCAGACCCCAGAGATAAAGGAGTTGACTGGTAGTCTGAGAGTCTACACCTCTTCACGCCATTCCACAGAATGGTGGGATTTCCCGACTTGAGTGTTAGAATTGCTGAGGTCAATCTTTAAGACCTTTCCAGCCCACAGACATTGGAATGGCCTTCTATTACATTTGCTTCAATTCTATTTGTTTTTTGTTGGAAGGTCACCGGATTAGAGATGAGGAATGATACTGCTAGGAAGATACTGTGCTTTGGTGATAATGTATCAGTTGGTATCTTCGTGGACTCATTCATGAAGTAATAAAGCTTATAGCTGGGTTTATCATTCATTTCCTATTGAAAGCATTACTTTTCTCCAGATGAAATTTTAGATAATAGCCCACTATATCAAACAGACTACAAAGCAGAACTGCCTTGGCCAGGGTTTGTAAAAGACTAAAGCCTCACAGACACACTCTGTCCTTCTTCTTCCTCCCCCATATGCAACAAAGACCCCAAGGGTGCCTGGGCATCCTGGAGGACAGCAAAGAGACCGCCACTTACAGCATCCAGATGTACTAAAGGCGCCACATGCACACACCAACGAAACCAACCACATCACTGCAATACCAATCAAACAGCACACAATTCTGTCTCTAAAATCTACTCGACGAACACAGACAACTTTTTTTTGGAAAACTGTCAGTTTTTAGTATCAACTTACCTATATATTGGCTATTAATATAGCATACCAGAAGGAAATATTAGCGATACAGTACAAGATAGCAAACACACATTAGTGAGAAGTGGATCAAGATGACTTTTTATTGCACTTTTGCTTACATGCCTGCTGAAATGTTGAGCTCGTTTCAGGCATTGTTCTGGCGACTGGATTTTAGCAATGAACTGCCTCTATGTTCCCCTAGATCCATGTTCCAGAAGTACATCAACCTTCCCACTTTTTCTACATACTAGAGGACAGTTTTAACATTCATTTTTTAAAACTTTAAACACTCAGAAAAAAAACCAGACAGCACATTGTAAACAAAATAATGTTTATATGTACGGTACTCACATAATCAAGGCTCATAACCTTCTGATTATACAGAATTATAAAGCTAGCTGTAAATCAATCTTCTTTCTAACTACTGGAATCTTCTATGTATAATTAAATATTTGCTTTAGAACATTTTAACACTTTGACAAATTGATTCTTTCACAATTAGGCTTTTGTAATGCCCTCCCTACCCTAAGAAGCAATCCACGATGGCTCCAAATTTTAAAAGCAATTATTTTCTTTGATAAAACTATCCGAAATTGAGTTCTTATTTTTTTTTCTACTGTAATCGATCACCTACTACAACACAGACAATGTCTTGTCCAAAGTGAAATATGGCACTTAAGCAAGCTGAGCTTTCAACAGACCTAAGACATTAACAGCCTCACTGGAAAAAAGCAACAAGAACGGACACAGCTAGCATGGCAAACTCTGGCCATTACTGGTCAGAGGTGAGGACTGATGCTTCTACTTTAGGCTCATCAACATCAAATTGAAAAAGCAGAGTGACAAGTGTATTACTAAACCTCCTAAATTATTTAGCTCAAATAAAAGTTATTTTTAATGTATGACTCTTCAATCTTACACTTCACTTATCTTTTCCTTTTTAAGATTAGTCAGAAGAAACAATCCAATGTATCTATAATCTAGCTCTTCTTTAACACATTTCACATAAGTTACTAAAATCACAATTCTGATAAATTTATTTTTAGTCATGGAAAAACAAGCAAGCAAACAAAGAAAAACCTAGAGTACAGCAATCAGAGCCTTTCTCGTCCTGCCCTTCTATGTGGACTGCAAGCACTCCCTCCACTGTGGAGGTGCAGCAGTCACCGTGTGGGATACACACCTCCAGTCTGCAGGGAGCTAGCACCCATGTTTGTTCCACATGGGCACTGCCAGCGGCCCCTGCGGCGCCCTCTCAACGACCACAAACTCGTCAGGATTGCCAGAGGCCTCATAAAAGACCATCAGTTCTTGTATCGCACGTTCTTCCACCTGAAAAGAGGACAGGAAGAAGACATGCTTCAGTGGATGCTGAGCAGGTTATCTTAGCTCTGCAGTTTCTTTGGAGGACTCAAGAATTTGCATGGATACAAGGCAGCAGAATTGAATCCCCGTGGCAAGGGCAAACCTAACCTGAGCTAGAATAACCAGACGTCCACCTCCCCAGTTTGAATCTAAGCAGAAAGAAAAATAAAACAAAAGTAACTGAGTCCATCCACTCCAGCACTGCATGCTGTGGCGTGCTTTCCGGGTCTCGCCTGGGATCTTTACACAGGCACTCCATATTGGCTACATCCAGCTCTCTAAGACTGTGGAAATGTAACATTCCCAGGAAAAACTCTTTTCCTTAACTTATCAAAGTTGGTACTACTGGGTACATTTAAGAAAGTATTCTTCCTCATATAGAAATCAAGTATAAAGCACTGGGTACTGCCAAATTCTGTTTACAGCTAACATTAGAATAATCCAGAGCCTCAGAAAGCCAAAATATATACTTCATCACAATGTATTAGTTCAAAGTTAATTATTCTGAATACTGTCAATTAATACTTAAATTCTTGGATATGTCAGTCCAGTCTTAAGAGTTTAAATTTAATTTGGCAGATAAATGCACCTGTCAAAAGAAAACAAATATTTTTTTAAGACCGAAGAGTGACCTGCACTTAGGTATGTTGCTTACCTGGATCAGAGCTAAGGGTTTTTCTCGGCTTCTGATGAGCGCGGCTTCCTGCTGCAGCTCCTCCTCTACAATGGATGCGAAGGTGACGGGGGCCACGGTGGAGGGCGGGGTCAGCGAGGACAGCCACGGACTGCAACAACAACCACAGCCAGCTCTTTCACTTCTCTTTGTTGCCTTTTTTTTCTGTTGCTGTTCATGAGGGTTGAACTCAGGGCCTGGGTGCTGTCCCTGAGCTTTTCTGCTCAAGGCTAGCGCTCTACCACTTTGAGCCACAGTTCCACTTTTGGCTTTCTGGTGGTTAATTGGAGGTAAGAATCTCATGGACTTTCCTGCCTGGGCTCGCTTCAAATTACGAACCCCAGATCTCAGGCCTCCTGAGTAGCTAGGATGACAGGCATGAAACCCCAGTGCCCATTTTTGCAATGCGAAATTCCCCCAGAAATACTCTATAGCAATGCTGCTCTGACTGGAGTTAAGTTAGGGCTACAAAAAGCAGTGAGACAATGGAGGCATAGAATTTCATTTTTGTGTGTGTGTGTGTGTGTGTGTGTTTGTGTGTGTGTCACATTTTCTTGATCCATTCATCTACTGAGTGGCATCTGGGTTGCTTCCATATGTTAGCTATGGTGAATAATGCTGCAATAAACAGTTGTGCTGGTAGCTTTAGTATGACCTGTTTGTGATCATTTGGGTAAATGCCTGAAAGTGGGATTGCTGGGTCACAGGGGAGCTCTATGTGGAGTCTTTTGAGGAACCTCCATACTGCTTTCCAGAGTGGTTGAACAAGTTTACACTCTCACCAACAATGCAGTAGGGTTCCCTTTTAGCCACATCCCCTCCAGCATCTGTTGTTATTAGATTTCCTGATTGTAGCCATTCTAACTGGAGTGAGGTAGAATCTCAATGTTGTTTTGATTTGCCTTTCTTTTATGGCTAGAGAAGTTGAGACAAGTAGCATAGCAGTGGTGGCTACTACTTGCTACAAGAGATCTAGAGGTCCTGTGGAGATTAAAGAATGATAAGGTGGGAAATAAAAGAACTATTACTTTATTTACATGTCTTACAGAGTACATTCTAGAAAATAACAAACTGGGATGGAGCAGAAGTATTATAACTTGGAATAAAAGTAAAGCCAAACTTTGGAGATCAATACTCAAATAATACATTCTACTTAAATCATAGTATTTCTAATCTACTTAAGTCATCATCGTATTTCTGATTTCTTAATATTCTCTAAATTGGTGCTAAGCTTAAGAGGGACAATGCTATGAAATGAATCTTACTTGGGACTTTCTAGAGGTGGTAAATCTGAAATATGGCTGCCTTCTGGTCCTGGGGCAACATGAATAGAATTTCTGCAAAACAAATACCAAATTTGAAGATTAAAGCTCTAGTATTATTACTACCACCGCTAATTAACAGCTACAGGGGAGGAAATGTAAGGTCCTGGCTCAGGAGACAAGTTAATGTATGATATCAGTCCTATCTTAAATTATAACTAAACAAAATAGTCTGTGGCTAGTTATAAACAATAGTCTTTTTTTTTCAAATATTCAAAAAGGGATTTAATACGTTATCACATACATATCAAAAAGTACAGGAAACTTTCCAAAGAATGTTTTACATTAATACTTCAGGAATAAAAGAAATTTAAATGAGCACTTAAGTCTCAACATACATTGAAACCAGATACTTATTAGTCAAATTTTGTAGGTGACTAATATACTTTGAGTGACTAACATACTAGAGTTCAAATGTAACAGGAATTCAAAACATGATCTGTTAAAGTTCTTAAGCTAGATGAGGAAAAATCTTAAGTTCTACTGCTATTTAAAAAAAAAATCAAAACATGTCATTTGAGAGGGACTCAGGAAGAAGATAGAACTGGAATAATAAAGGTATATATAATGGGGGGGGGACAGGAAGAGCTATAGTAAATGGAAAACATGATTTTTGTTTTTTAAGAAAAGGAACTGGGGCTGGGAAGGTGGCTCAGTGGTAGAGCACTTGCCTTGCATGCATGAGGCCCTGGGTTTGATTCCTCAGCACCACATAAGCAAAAATAAAAAAGCCAGAAGTGGCGCTGTGGCTCAAGTGGTAAACCGCTAGCCTTGAGCTGAAGAGCTGAGGGACAGCACCCAGGCCCAGAGGCCCAGAGTTCAGGCTCCACGACTGGACCAAAAAAAAAAAAAGGAACTATAATTATTTGGACAAAGGACAAAAATTTAGAGCGACAGATTTTCTAATCAAATAATGAGCAAAGACTTAAAATATTGACTTCCTAATTTGTTTATGCATATTTCCTGGGCATGTGTCAGTACTGTGGTAGATGGTAAAAATCAAGCTAATTAAAACTCAACTCCTACCCTTCAAAAAATTCAGATAGGGAAGATTTTAAATATTCTATGCTTAAGCAAAAAATAACATTTGAGACTACTTATGTAGAAAGTGCCAGGGGTCACAAGAGACAGTAAAGAGACAGGTAAGAGGCTGCACAATCAAGAGCCTTCCCAGAGGACACTACAGTGAAGAGGAGCTCTGAAGCAGAGCTCTGATTACACAAGAACATGGGGAACTGTCAAAGATTCTGATGGCTTGTGTAAAGGCAAGCTGTTTTCAATCCAAAAGAGAGTGAGGAAGAGATTTAAAAGTGAAATGAAGATACCAACAATAAGGGCCAGACTATAAAACCGCTGAAAACAAATGTCAGATCTTGATATATGGACAAGCAAGTCTAGTGAGGGCCAAGTATATTCATGTACATTATCTCTTTCAATCCTTTGTGATACTCTGTGAAGAAAATATACTATTTTCATTATTCAAATTAGAAAACTAAGGTTAAAAGAATCTAATATAAATGTGCTTGGCTTACAAATTGAGTTAATAAGTAACAGAGAAATAATTCAAATTCAGCTTTTTCAGAGTAGAGAATGTTTTCTATAATGACACAGATGTCTTATTTCTACTATTACAAATATACAATGTATTCCCTTAACCTAGAATGTTCAACTTCAACTGTCTTCTTATTAAAAATTTTCAAAAGCTTTCAAATGAAAATAGAAATCCAGTGGCCAGTGGCTCACATTGTAATCTTTTTTACTCAGGAGGCTGAGATCTGAGAATCAAAGTTCAAAGCTAGTCTGGGCAGACAAAACAGACTCTTATCTCCAGTTAACCAGCAAAAATAAAAAAATCTGGAAGTAGAGGTGTGGCTCAAGTAGTAGAACATCAGCCTTGAGAGAAAAAATAAAGAGTGCAAGGCCCTCAATTTAAGTCTCAGTAATGGGAAGAAAGTACTTAAAACTAAACCAATTAACCAACCAAATAAGGATCGTGTGTGTGTGTGTGTGTGTGTGTGTGTGTGTGTGTGTGTGTGTGTGTCTGTGTGTGTGTGTGTGTTGAGCCCAAGGCCTTGCCCTTACTTGGCTTTTCCCCTCTGGCACTCTGTCACTTAAGCTGTCTCCAGTGTTTTTTTGCACTGGTTACTTTTGAGGAATGTCTTGCATTCAGGGCTCCAATTCTTCTCCCTGTGCTTCCTGTGATGCTGGATGTCTTAGTCCCATGCCATCATGTCCAGCAGCTGGCTGAGAAGTGGTCTCAACTACCTACCATGCCCTGGCTGGCCTTGGACCACAAGCCCCAATCAGTTGATCTCTACCTCCCAAGCAGCTACCATTACCAGCCTGCGCTACCATTTTTTTTTTTTTAAAGACTGGCTCCAAATCACCTTCTTTCCCCTCTTTAAAGAACCTAATCACTCGTAGAAAGTTGATTCACAATGTCTCATTATGGCTCATACATGGCCTTGAGATCTTTTTCATATTGTTATACTGTACTGCAACTTCCTTCTTATTCTGTCACTTAATTTACATATGTGTGCACTGGGATTTATCAGATAATTTCAAATCCAGTAGAAGTTGGGCTTTTGTGTTATATTTTTATACATACCCAACAGAGGCAAGTAAAATGTGTTATTAGGTATACCATAACTTGGTGAATAAACAGCTTACTTTGCCTACAAAGTTTTATATTTCCTTTGTTATAAAAGCTACCTTATAATTTATATACTTTCTATGATGAAATAAAAACTGGCAGGCAGGCTGTTTTTCCTTTAGTGTGAATGGCCACAACAGACATAGCTAAAACAAGGAGGGAATAGCAATGTTCGGCAAGAAATGTACTCATTACCTCATTTGTCTAACTGTAACTCCTCTGTACATAACCCTTACAATAAAATAAAATTAAAAAGAGAAAGTTTAGCAAAATAAGACATCAGGAAGTGGGCACACGAGAGGGGTGGGTCAAGGGGAAAGGGGACAGATGAATGAAGAAGAGAAGGGGGAAATGCAGACAAGAATCCAATATAATTCCTACAAAAATTAAAAAGAGTGAGAGAAGGGGTGAGTAGAAGAGAGAGGGGTGAGAACGTTGAAAGGGGAGACATTGATCAAGATATATACTGCATTCATAAAAGGCCTTGTTAAATGGTAATTTCCTTTATACAACTACTTAAAGATAATAATACATTTTAGTGCAAAATATAGACACTGGAAACAGTTATTACAAACAGTAACTCCCATAGCCATGAGCTACTGATACACAATCCATGGACTCTTTCAATTTAATCTCCAAAGCAGTACACTGGGAGTTTCCACAGACTATTGATGTTGTAGCACACTCTAGTGATCAACTATGAAACCACAGATCCTTCATATTTTGTTTCATAATACTAACTAATCCAAGGAAAAAAATAATAACTAAAAATATTAACTTAATATTTTAAACAAAAAAAATGAAAAAATGAACTTAATTTTCAGAGTTTTTAATTTATAAACCAAGGTAAGCAGTCTAACTATATTAGAAGCAAATGTTACTTGAAACTAAGCTACAGTTTTCATGCATTTATTTCATTTGGTCATTTACCAAACGTTCACTGAGTGCTCACTCCCTGGTAGGAACCAAACACTGGTGATAGACATTTTCCTTGCTCTCAGGGAATGTATGGTTAAGTGCCAGAGAATATTAGCAACGGGCAAACCTTAAACTATAAAAGAGAGCCAGGTACTAGTGGCTCAAAATGCTGCGAACTAGGATCAGTTTGAAGCCAGCCCTCGCATGTAAATTCAGGAGATTTTTATCTCCAATGAACCAGCAAAAACAAATCAAACTGGGGGTGAGCTCAAATGGTAGAGCATCAGCCCTAAGAGAAAAGGCCAAGTAAGAGTACATGGTCCTGAGTTCAAGCTCCAGTATTTCTGGTGCAGACATAAACGCTCTAAGAGGAATGAGGGTTTTCTGAGCCACTGAAGGAAGCCAGACTTCTCTAAACCATGAAGGAGTCAGAGTTAGTCAAAGGGTAAGAGAAAGAAATAAAGTATATTTGGGAACAACGAGGAGGCCAGCAGACTAGAACAGAGAGATCATATTGCAGGATAAAGCTTAGTGGTGGCAGGATTCAACAAGTTCTCAAAGGTTGAACTTAGAATTCTATGAAGGCTTCTCAAAAACTAAAAACAATTACCATGTGACCATAATAGACACCCCCCCCCCCCCGGGCAGATATCTGAAGAAATTTCAGTCAGTACACAATAGAGACACTGGCAATCTGATGTGAGTAGCGGCACTATTCACAACAGTCTATAACCATGGAAACAGTCTAGATGTCCATCAACTGATGGGGAAGTAAAGTGCACTGTACGTACAAATGGATTATTTTGTCTTAGTAAGAAGAATTCAATTGTTTGCAGGAAAATGTACGAAACTAGGGATTATTGTGCTAAGTGAAATATAGCTAGATCAAGACACTGAGAAACACAAACATTGCGTGCTGTCTCTCATATGCAGAATCTAGACTTTAAAAAAAATAGTATAAGTGTAAAACAGAGATTGTTTGGGGAGGGGAGCCACAAAGTGAGGAAGATGATCGGGGAGGGCAAAGGGGAGTGAATATGATCAAAATACTTCATATTCAGGGATGAAAATAGATTCAAGCCTGTTAAAAAAATTGCTCACAAAGCCGGGCGCTGGTGGCTCACGCCTGTAATCCTAGCTACTCAGGAGGCTGAGATCTGAGGATCGCGGTTCAAAGCCAGCCCGGGCAGGAGAGACCGTGAGACTCCTATCTCCAATAACCACCAGAAAACCGGAAGTGGCGCTATAGCTCAAGTGGTAGAGCGCTCGCCTTGAGCTGAAGAGCTGAGGGACAGCGCCCAGGCCCAGAGTTCAAGCCCCACGACCGACAAAAAAAAAAAAAAATTGCTCACAAAAGTAGAGAGGAAATAAGGAAGAGGGAGTAGTACGGGAGGTGGATTTGATCCAAGTATGTTATATGTATATGTGGAAATATCACAATAAAACTCCCTTTATAAAATATACATAAAAATGAGAAAATAGTAAAAAGAGCAGTTATCTTCCCCTGAGATGACCTGCTTTCAGTCTATCTGTTTCCTAATAAACTTCCCTACCATTTTCACTACAAAAAAAAAAGAAAGAGAAAGGAAGGGAAAGGAGGAAGGAAGTTATGATGCATAACAAAAGCCTTAAAATAGGAAAGGTTGAAGTCAGGAAGCAGAGCTGTGGCTCAAATAGTAGAGTGCTAGCCTTGAGCAAAAAAGCTCAGGACAGTGTCCAGCCCTTGAGTTCAAGCCCCAGCACAGAAAAAAAAGCTAAAACAGCCAATAAACTCACACTGGTCAGGAACACAGAGGTGACAATGACTTGCGACTGCTATCTACCAGGGGAGAAATATCAGGAAGAATGGATTGTTTTACATTTTGTCTTTGACTTTGGTTTAATGAGAGTTATGAGGAATATTATGTTTGGTTTTGGACATCTGAGTTCCTGAATATCCAAAGATGAACAGCATGGTATTAACATGACACTGGGTAGAAGAGGTAAACTCTCAAAGGCAAAGCAAGGACATACAAATAGAGGCAGGTTGGTCACCTCACAGGAGCAAAGTAAGGAAGATAGCATGTCCTTTCAACAACACAGATGTCCCTCATACACCTTATACTACTAGTAGAATATTCTTCTTATACCAGAAAGTTGTGAAGTATGTTTTAAAATCCTACCGTAATATGGAAAGTGAGGACTGGAGTCAGAGCAGAGGATTTATTGGTACTCCCTGCCATTTCATGTTCTTCTGAAATGCATTTTTAAAGCTAATAAAAATATTCAATCAATATTTTCATACAGTGCAGATTACCAGCATGTTAGCTTCTACTGGCAAATTAATCCACTTAAATGTAAATTTAGGAATAAAGCTTCTTCTACCATCTCTGTCTAAATGAAGAACGTTCTTAAAGACTTAAGAGGAGTTGGTTTTAAAACATCATTTTTAACTATTTAAAACGGATGTGAAAATAAACCAATTATCACTCTAATATACTTCTTTTCTGTAATGTTTTATAAACTATAAATTTAATGATCTGTTTAGGTTTTTCTGTTTAGGTCAGTACGAGCAATATTAATTTTGTTTACTTAACTGTTTGATATAATTTCTGATACAAAGATGACAATAAACATTTGTTTGCCAACTTTAGGATTACAAAGTTTTACAGTATTAATGCCCAGTGTACAATTTTGAGACAATCAGGAACATTAACATTTTAACTTGGAATTAATGTCTAAAAATGCTTATATCTGTTTTAGAGTTCCATTTAGGACTTTTATTTTAAAATAGCAGTCTACTACTAAAAATATTTTAAAGTATATACATAGAGCAAGACACATCCTCAGATTCTAACTTCTGATTTTCCTTTATATAAAAACAGTCCAGGGCTGGGAAGGTGGCTCAGTGGTAGAGAGCTTCCCTTGCATACATGAGACCCTGGGTTCAATTCCTCAGCCCACATAAGCAAAGAAGCTGGAAGTAGTGCTGTGGCTCAAGTGGTAGAGTGCTAGCCTTGAGCTGAAGAGCTGAGGGACAGCGCCCAGGCCCAGAGTTCAGGCCTCATGCACGGCCAAAAAAAAGTAAATAAACAACAACAAAAAGGCCCAACAAATTTGCTTCTAAGTGTACCTATTGGTAATAACAAAGCAATATAAAAAGCAAAAGTATGTATATACATCTGCCCTCAGCCAGGAGCTCCCAACAAAGTTGTAAGAAGTCCTTAGTTTTTGCTCAGCTGTGTTGGGGCAGGTCAGGTTCAGCTAAACTGTGTGGGTCCCAACCCCCTCTTCAAGCTTTAATCTGAGTCTGTCGAGGGGGGAGGATGCATTAGATAAAACAAAACATTAATCTGGTCATAACTATCATGGTTAGTTGCATTTTTGTTTTGTCTAAAATAATATTTTGGGGAGATGTCCAATCAGTAGAAATAATAAATCTTCATTTAGCCAACCAGCTTGAAGAAGTTTCTTTTCTTCTAGTATTAGTATTCAAAATGATTCAACATGTTTGATTTTGAATTATGTTTACAATGGGGAAGCTATTTTTTAATAATGCTTTAAAAATATTACACTTAATATTTACAAAATACTTTTTCATGATTCCTATAGGCACTTAAAATATCAAATATCTTTAAAAAACTACATCAGATCTTTAAAACCAAATCAAACTAGCTAAAGTTAAAAACTGAAAACACTCAAACTTTCAGATTTATGACTATGTATATTGTGGCATATCCATATAAATGCAGCAATAAAACTGAATCAACAGCATGGATGATCCTGAAAACAATTATACTGAATAGAGGAAGACAGTTTTTATGAAAGGTACATATGGTAGGGTTCCACTGAAATAAAAGGTTAAAATATAAAAGCTATGCACTGACAAAAGCAAACTGGTGATTTAAGGAGGGACATGGAGCTGAGTGTTGGTGGCTCACACCTGTAATCCTAGCGACTGAGGAGGCTGAGATCTGAGGATCAAGGTTCAAAGCTAGCCTTGGCAGTAAAGTCCTGAGATTTTTATCTTCAATTAACCACCAGAAAACCAGAAGTTGTGCTGTGGCTCAAAGTGGTAAAGCACTAGCCTTGAGCAAAAGGAGCCCAGAGATAGGACCCAGGCCCAGAATTCAAAGTCCTAGGACTGACCCCCCCCAAAAAAAAATGGGGGGGAAGGGGGAACAAAATTCTGCAAATGATGATTTGAATATGATAAAGATTTTGAGAGTATAGACAATATGACAAAGCTTTGAATTATATTTCATATGCATGCAGAGCGCTAGCTCAGTAACTGTTTTTAAAAAGAGGGAGGAAAGATGCTCATTTTAATTCTAAATGTATAAGAATGCATAATCTGCTTCATAAAAATTTTTAACTGATTTCAGATAAGATTATATGGAAGCTTTAAGTTTACTTTGTTACCTTACAACTTTTGAAGACTGAGAATTTTCAATTCCTTTAAAACAAACTTTTTTTACATGGTCTCCTGAACTATGGCCAGTAACAGACTTTTTTTCTTCTAGCACGAAATCTCGGAATGACTTGGATGAAACTGAATGTACAGAAGATGCCCTGTAAAACAAAGGAAAGATCATGTTTAAAAATCCATTTTGAGGGTGGAAGGCTTGGCTCAGTTGGTACAGTGCTAACCAATAAGACAAAATGGCAGGTCCATGGAGTTTGAGTCCTGATCTTGGACACTACAATACAAAAATACTATCATGTAGTTTTCAATGAGGTAGGTGGCCAGAGGCTAATGAATGTAATTTTAGCTGTTCAGGAGGCTGAAATCAAGAAGATCATTGTTCAAAGCCAGTTGGGGCAGAAAAGTAGCAGAAAGCCAGCCAGAGGTGTGGCTCAAGTAGTAGACCACTAGTCAAGCAAGCAGGTCCAGACAGCACAAAGCTATGATACCCCAAGTTCAAACTCCAGTACGAGAAATACAAAAGAAGGAAGAAGAAAAGAAGGAAGGAACAAAGGAAGGACAGGAAAGAGGAAGGGAGGAAAAATAAAAAGGAAATAATGAACACCAACACTGGATTATAAACCCAGATGTCAAAATTACTAATGATATTCAAGTAGCTATTTTAACTATGCCTTGAATAACAATAAAACCTATACCAAGAATGACTTAAGAACAGGCAAACTCTGCAAAAGGAACTAAAAAAAAAAAATCCAAAATGTTATTTCAAGACTTGTAATACGTTTAAAATGCAAATTTACTTGCATAAATTTAGGAGATTCAACAGTCCATAAACAAAATAAAGCAATAGAAATTTTTTTTTAAGAAATTTTTGAATCTTAAGAAATGAGTAAGAAAAACTTAGGTCAGCCTGGTGAGCTGAGCTGTGGGACCTGAAGAGGCTACTTGTGTAATTGAAAACACAGAAGAGCAGCAACGGCAGACAAAAGTATTTTAGAATTGCCCATGTAATTGTAACCCCTCTGTGTACAGTATTTTCACAATAAAAAAACATTAAAAAAAAAAAGAAAATAGGACACAGACTTAAAAAAAAAAAAGTATTTTAGAAGACAATAGCCAAAACTTTCTCACGTTTGGTGGGAGACATAAGGATTTTGGGAGAGTGGAACTTTAGTTCACACCATTTAAGAAAACTTAAAAGTCTTCTCTTTAGAAAACCTGGCATCCACTGGAAGTCTAGCAGACACACCACCAGGCCCCAAAGGACAAAAGATACTGCCAAGAGCTACAGTCACATGTGGTCCACACAGCACAGGGCACGCCAACACAAGGGTCAGAGAATAATGAATATACATTGGTGTCAATCAACAGGTACTTTAAACTTTCCATTAATGGAATAATGTAATACGATTTTTATTTTTCTGGTTGGTTTCTTTGTTCAATATTATATTGCTGAGATTCAAATACACTGTTTTATTATAATCATAATGTATTCTTTTACATCACTGTATAAAGTTCTAGTATTTTAGAAAACAGTCATATTTATTTCCTGGCAATAGACATGTAGGTTGTTTCTAGTTTTTAGCTATTACAAACGATAAGAACATTCTTATTCATTTTGCCTACATGCATGTACCTTTTTTTCCATTGAGGAGTGGTACCAGGGTGTGAAGTAAGGTACCCAGACACTCACTTGGCTTTCCTGTTAGGCTGTCTCCCAAGAAACCATGCCTCCTATCCCAACTTCTGATGGATACACATTTGAGTGAATGCTATATCATACACGATCTATGACATTACAATACTGAATAGGATACTGCCAAAAAGGCACCACTAGCCAGCATTAGTGGCTCATGCCTAGAATCTTAGCAACTCAAGAGGTTGGGATCTGAGAATCATGGTTTGAAACAGCCTGGGCAGGAAAGTCTATGAGACTCTTATCATCAATAAACTACCACAAAAAAAAAAAAAAAAAAAAGCTGGAAGTGATGTTATGGCTCAAGCAGTAGAGCACTTGCTCTGAGCAAAAACAAAAAACAACAAAAAAACACATAATCCTCAACCCGCACACACACACCAAGAATAAACAAGAAAACAAAAACATTTCCATGGATATAAAATCTCCAAAAATGTATTCTTTATCAGAAAACAACTGGTGTCATAGTACTTGGAAACAAGGAACAAACCAGAGAGAAAGTAGAATACAGGAGACGACTAAGCACTAGAGGAAAGGAAAAAAAGTTCCCAAAATGGCAGCCAGGAAATCACTTGAACAAAGGAAGCGGTAGGACAGGTACCAAGAGAAAATGACATGTACACATGAAAAGTAAATAAACATTTGAAAACTACTAAGTTCATATCAACACATCCAAATTTAGAAGAAAAACAAAAACAAAAAAGCCATTGTTTCTCAAGTTCTAATGTTTAACTAAAATCAAGTGGGGAATGAAATATTTTAAAAGACTTGAGAAACAGGAGTCACTTTATAAACCTAGAAATCAAGAACCATCTTAAAAGCTACCAGAGCTATGCCAATTTTAATAAAAGTACAATCATACCATGCAGGTTTTGGGGATTTTGAAGGCGCAGTTAAAACTGTTTCCACGCCACTGGCTCCTGAACTGTTTTCTTTGGTGGTCAATGCAATCATTTTCCGCTGCTTCTGGGAAAGCCTGACTCCATGGGAAATTACTTTTCTAAAAATTCAATTACAATAAGCAAATTAGTTCACTGGTTTCACTAATTCTGAGAAAGTATTTTATAAGAAATCATTTTGCTAAAATTAAACCAATTTGCATCCCTTTCTGCTCAATAAACATTTTTAGATAATGGTATTTCCGATTCATCTGGTGTGATTTTACTATTTGGGAATCAAACTGTTCACAATTCCAACAGTGAAAATATCAGTCTATGTTGTAAGTGATCAAGTAATAGCTAATAGATACATTGCCTATGTATCATACTTTTCAAGAGCAATCGAATCACAAGGCTTAAATTTTTAGCTTTTGTTTAGAAATAGATTACAATGACCATTTAGAGTCAAGCTTCTAGTATGTAATCTGTATTTAGCAAGAGCTGGTCTACCAATTCAATTCAATCTTTAGCACATGTTTAACAAAGGTTATAAAGGTTAAATTAAGTATAACAGGGCTTATAACTATTACAATAAATACGTTCTTTAAGGGAAAAGAAAACAGTAGCAGTATGGTCTCTTTATTTATTTTTTCTTGCCAGTCCTGAGGCTTAAACTCAGGGCCTTAGCACTGTCTCTGAGCTCCTTTTGCTCAAGGCTAGCACTCTACCACTTGAGCTACAGCATCACCTCTGGCTTTTTCTATTCATGTGGTACTGAGGAACTGAACCCAGGACTGCATACATGCTAGGCGAGAACTCTGCCACTAAGCCACATTCCCAGCCCTGGTCTCCTCTTTTTTTTTTTTGCTTTTTTTTTTTTTAATTGTGAAAATACCGTATGGAGGGGTTACAATTACATGGGCAAGATAATGAGTACTCCTTTTTTTTTCATGATGTTTAACCAACCCTAAATTTGACTTTGGTGTAGTTCCACATTTTTGTCTACTTTCTTCGATTTCCATGATGGTTCTGAGGTCCACAACAGGAGGACTGACAGGACTAAAAAATAAATAAATAAATAAATAAATACTTTACAAAGCATTTGATTACCTACTAATGTTAACTACAGTCCAACTGAAACTCAATTGATGAAGCTTAAAACTGCATTCTTTCCAATCTACTTTAACAAGTAAAATTCTTACTACTGTATTAAGCAAAAACAGATATTCATTAGAAAATTGGGGGGAAACTGAACAATACTGGAGGCTCTATCGAAGAGCTGTACCATAAAAAAAAAAAATTCTATGACCATTAGAAGCAGTTTTTCTTTTTGTTGTTTTTGTTGCTAATCCTGGGGCTTGAACTCAGGGCCTGGGCGCTGTCCCTCAGCTCTTCAGCTCAAGGCTATCGCTCTACCACTTGAGCCACAGTGCCACTTCCAGCTTTTTTCTTATGTGGTGCTGAGGAATCTAACCAGGGCCTCCCTCATGCATGCAAGGCATGCGCTCTATCTACCACTGAGCCACCTTCCCAGCCCTAGAATAAATATTTTAATATGCATCATTGAACACTGGATGGGAACTCGATGTTTTAAGAACGAAAGTACAAAACACAGTGGAAAGCCTACCTGAAAGAGCCAGAAACCCAACTAGAAGAACTTGTTGTGTCAGCCCTGTTGCTGGGAATGGACTGCGGAGCAGTTATTTGAAGTACTGACGATTTTTCCCATGGTTTTAAATCTTCCCTAGTATATGCAGGAGGTGTACCATTACTATAAGGTTTAACTTTCGCCTGTGGGAAAGAAAAACAAATAAAAAAGTAACAGCAGGCATCTATTTCAGCAAGCTTCATACTAAAATTTTATGACAATAAATTACCTAGCATTTTCAATTTATGTTCTATAGTTAATTAACCAATTCTGAAGACATATCACTGACTATAATTCTTACCTTGAAGAGCTTACTGTAGGGCAGTAAGCTTAAATTCCTATTTATAAAAATAAATAAAATGTTCATACACAAATATGGCCTATGTAAGTCATAATATGAGTAAGTTTACAATTAATGTCCATGACATTAAATAGAAAACAGAGTGAAACTTCCAGTAATTGTGAAAATAGTTAAAATATTCTGAAGAAAATTAAAGTCAAATACTATTGATTGCTCAAAAGGGTCCCTGAACCTGGTGCCGCTGGGTCAAGAGGTGCCTGCGGCTCTGTAATCCTAGCTGCCCAGGAATCTGGAGGACCGCAGCCTGAGTCAGACCAGGCAGAACTGTTTTCTAAAAGACTCCAGCTCCAAAATAACCAGATACTAAGTGGGCTGAAGGCATGGTCCAACTGGTAGAGCAAGCAAGCAAGGCGGTTAAGGGTGAGGTCCAGAAATCAAGACTCAGTACTGGCCAAGGAGAAAAAAAAGTCAAGTAAGTGACTAAATAGCCTTTGCACTGCCAGGCTTGTCCTCTAGTATTGCAGGACTAAACTTAAGAGAGCAAGCATTGCCTTCTATAATCTCTGTGTTACATTATAAAACTTAAAAGAAAATTCAAGCCTTGAGGAGGCCTCAATCAGAATTAACTGATTCTATCTCTTAGTAAGGTAGACATTTCCACCACTAGTGATTAAGGACTGTGGAACAAAGTGTTAACTGATACCTTCCCAAGAAGGTAGGAAGACCAGAATTACTGCAGCTAATGTCAATTACATTGGATTCAAAGAACTCAGTCTTCCCAAACTGTCTGTCTAGTCAACATCATGAAAGAAAAAGACTACATATTGACATTTGGCTTATTTTCAAAATCTACTTGGACTGACATTTCCCTAAACGTATTTCAATTATTTAACCATACATACATTCTTCAGTATGTCAATATTTCACATAAACATTATATTTCATTTACTGAAAGATTAGAGATAATATTAAATGAAGGACTCAAAACCATACTGGTCACATGAATGTGAGAAAATGAACCTACGTAATTTCATGCTTTCATAAATCGACCTAGAAAAGTATTGTAACTCACAGCAAACATGATGAAAAACTAAAGGTAACTTATCTACAGAAGTAAAAACTAAAGGTAAAATGGCTTTACTTACAAAGCAAACCTCCATCTTTTCTGAATGAGAGCTGGTGGTGAGATCAGGGGACTGAGACTCTCTAGGACTACCCACTCCGGCACAGCTTCCTTCAGAGTCTGAGGTCAACAGCTCGGGAAGAGATTCCACAGAATTGGTCTTACCAGTCTTCAGTAATCCTAAAACATGAATTTAAAAGAACAAAGAAATAAGCATTAATCATATACATATTTATAGTCAAGAGGCCACCAGAATTAAAGTACATTCACTGCACAAAGTCTTTATTAAGTTCAGTGAAAAAGGAAACCATTTTAAATGAAAAATGTATGATTATGTGAAAATGATTCTACTACATATGAGGAACATACAGTTTTGGGGATTGCTCTGAAGAAATGATTTCTGTTATTCCCCATAAAACACAAAAAGGAAGAAGAAATCAGTAAGCTCCACGCTCTCCCCTTCTTTTTCTCATCTGCCTTCTGGTGGAAGTCTACTCTCGAGGAAGGAGACTGCCCTGCTCTGTGGGAGGAAGCACTCTAGGGCCTGTCTGCCCCATTTTTTACCCAGCACATCAGCCAGGAACAGAGGCTGCAAGAGCCAGTTGTAGCCTGTTTCAGAACTCAGCTTTTGTTTGTTTTTTCCTGTAAAAAGAAAGTCTCTGCCAAGGGAGAGCTATTTTAATTAGCTTACTACTTGAAATACCTGAATTTTTATTATATATATATATATATATATATATATACTATTTCTTCTGTTAGTTAAGCAGCCTAAATGCCTGCCTGTCATACCTGTTATCCTGTCATATACAGATTACCAAGTAAATTGAAATTGCTTAAATTCAGGTGATTACTACTCACATTTCAATTTATTACAACCTACATGAAGTGCTAAAATAATCCTTAAAATAAAGATATTATCTAAGTTACAAAAGTTGTATAACTGATTTAAAAATAAGTAAAACATACGATTTCTTGTAACTTTAGTATTATTCTTTTAAAATAAATCACTGGTCAATCTTTATGCTTCTTTTGCTATTGTTATTATTACTAAGGTACAATTTAGTAATAACAACTTTCCCCCTACTCTTATTTAAATTCAATGTTCACAGAAGAAATTTTATTTAACTGAAACGTTTTTAAAAAAACAATCAGAATTCAGAGAAATAAGTGGATAATTACAGGGTCCAACAATTATCTTTGGTCAAAACCACAGAATCAATGGTCCAACTTCTATGTCCAAGTTATATGTTAAGCCTTCACCTGACTGATGGAATTAAGCTTAACTAAGAATTTTTGACCCCCAATTAAGTTTAATACGTTAGTCATTATTGCTTATTGTAGAAAGAAGGACACATCAAGACAAATATGAAACTAGAATAAAAATAAATTCTATTTCTTACTGTTACTACCTCATATCACTTAAGTTTCTGGATTGTGTTTCCTTATGTATAAAAATAAAGGACATAACATTATTTCTTTACTAAAATCACTCCATGCTATCATTTGGGTAAGAGGAAAATCACTCATTTCAAAAATGACTTATTCATTCTTCTACTACTCTACCTATGCCTTGTCCTACAGTCTAGGTAATTCATACAACACACAAACAATCCCAAATCACAGAATTTTACATTTGGAAATGTCCTAAGACATGTTTTTTTCCCATTTACTAGGTCTCCTGGTTCCTGTCTTCAGTACATCATGAATCAACTTAATAATATTACCTATCCTTTTTACATCTTTTAGCTTTCTAAAACAATATTTGAGGTTTACTCTTTAATTGAAGAGACAAAATAATCCTCCTTTGCCCTACATAATATCCATCTTTCTCAGAGACACAAAACAACAGTCTTCTGTTTTTCTCCAAGTCATTCTAATAGAACTATGTAAGTACTTATAATAATTAATAATTGTCCCAGGTTATACCTTACTGCATAGATGAACATACCTCTCATTCTAAGTGAATCAGTTTTAAAAAAATCTCAGCCAGGTACCAGTGGCTCACACCTGCAATCATAGCTACACAGGAGGCTGAGATCTAGGGATTACAGTTCAAAGCCTACTGGGGCAGAATAGTTCATGAGACTCCTATCTCCAATAAACTACTCAGAAAAAGCCATAAATGATGCTGTGGCTCAAGTGGTAGAGCCTTGAGCACAAAGAGGCTCAATCAAAGACAGTGCCAAGGCCAAGTTCAAGCCCTAAGAACAGCAAAAAAAGGTGTCTCTCTCTCCCTCTCTCTCTCTCTCTCACACACACACACACAAAATGTGGGCAAGAAAAAACAAATGCAGTACAAAACTAAAACTAAACTAAATCTGAATAAAGAGTACATTTTCATGGTATTTATTTTTCTTCTTTTCACTAAGTTAGATAAAATATTAGGAAGATCTGAGAACAATTATATAACCTCTACTTCCAAACTTTACTATGCTCACATAATGCCTTGATACAAAATGTGCTGTCTTCTACTACTAGAGTCTTTTTATACATATAAATGGCCTCTCTTCAGAAAACGGACATATTTTAATTGATTCAATATAATGCTATCCCTGCCATACTTTGCCCACTTCTGATCCTCTATGCCACTGGGCAGGGTGGTCATTCAAAACATAAATATTACCTAGTCATACCTTATTTTAAAAATGTACCAATTAGCTGCCTGTAGTCATTAGAATAAAATCCAAATTCCATAAAGACTCTCCAAAATCTGACCCTATCAAATCTGACCCTGTCTGCACATACACTATGTAGCTGAGCCATGCTGCACTACACATGCAAATGATGCTTGCTCATTCTAAGGTCACTCCTTTTCTTAGTATATCCATCTTCATCTTTGTCTTGGCTAACATTTCTTCATTCTTCAAGATCTACCTTGGGTATCACTTAGCTTTAAGAGGTCTTCTTTGATCTCAGATTACTGGGAATACCTCTTCTGAGCTGCCAAAGAAAATGTCATAGTACTTATCACAATATGTTAGCATTTTCTGTAGTCTTGTAAGAACTATCTTCTACTTCAGTAGCCCCAGATAATAGCATGTAGTATTTAAAAATGTTAGAGGAATTTGATAATAAATAGAAACATCAAAGATCAGAAGTGACAATACATGCTAAAACACTAACCACTGACCTGTAGGTGGCAGGCTCTGAATAATATCTGATAGGTTGTAACCTCCAGAACTATCCGAGCGTTTACGTGGCTTCTTTTTAGCTTTAGCTTTTGCTTTCTTAAACATAGTTTCCCTAGGAAAAAGCAAATGTGAAAGTGATTCTTTTCATGAATGAAGTTAAAAATGAAACAGCAGAACAACAATGCATGTTAGTCAACAGCATATAGTCTTGTGGTCAAACAAAGCTCTAATGACATCAGCAAATGGTCTGTGTGAGCTATCACTTGTTTTAACCCTAGAATTTCAAAGACAGTTTGAAAACAAGATGATATAGAGGAAAATACTTAGGAAAACAGAACACTGACTTGTGCCATAGTAGTCACTGACGAGGCACAGCCAGGATCTGCCCACCCCATGACTGTGGGAATCAATGTGGTCACAACGCAGGCAGGAGTAGAGGCAGGCCAGGCACACCAGGTTCACGGAGATGTGATCCAGGGAGTGTATGGCTTTGTCCCTCATCAAGCACTCCCTGGAGTGACATAGTGTATGTCCCTTTGCAGCAAAGAGACCTTCACGCTTACTAAGAAACAGTAGGGATGTAAAAGGAATTAAGAAGCACTGAACAACATCCTGGCTGCTAAGAGGAAAACTGTTACCACGAAGCAGCAAGCACTCTCTTCCTTCTATGAACAGTGAAACAGTTACAAACAAAAATAAAAAAATGGAACATTATTTATACAAACACTATTCTTTTTATTCTTTTTGGTAGGCTGGCACTGTACCAATTGAGCCATGAGTCCAGCACTGCTTTCTGTTGGTTATTTAGGAGATTCAAGACCAATGAACTTTCTGCCTGTGACTGCAATCCTCCAGATCTCAGCCTCTTGAGTAACTAGGATTAGAGGTGTGAGTCACATAGTATTATTATGACCTTCAACTAAATGTATTTGGTGACTGTTTTGTAAAGCATTTCAGAGAATGTTTAACTCCTTCAAGAATCAGGAAATAAAAAATTAGTATCTGTGAAAGAAAGAAAAATAAATAACTGTGCTGTTCCACCGAAATAGTGTAGATCCTATTACTGATTTATACAGTTCATCTGTAAATACTATTATTTTGTAGAGAATTGGAGTCATTTATATGCTATCAATAATTTTATTATAATTTTAATACATGTCATTAATCTAAAACAGCTATGTCTAAGTTCTGGTATCTCAAATGCTATCAAGCACTAGAAAAAGTTAAAATTATATTTAAAATAATATTTCTGGAACTCGGCGTTTTTCAGTGAGATACACAGTTAATTACAAATAAATGATCTCAGAACCCAAAGATTTTACTTTATTAGGTTACTCATCAAGCAAAATGAAAGCAAGTCTGTAATCAGTTGATAAATGAACCTAAAAGGCTGAGTCGAAATTCTCACTAGAGCCCTCTGAGCACCAATGGCTCACACCTATATATAATCCTATAATTCTAACTACTCAGGGAGCTGAGATCTGAGAATGGGCAGTTCCAGGCAAGCCCAAGCAGGAAAGTCCATGAGACTCTTATTATCTCCAATTAATTACCAAAAAGTCTGATGTAGTCTGATGTAGAGCTGTGGCTCAAGTGGTAGATTGCTTGCTTCAAGCAAAATCTCAGGAACAGTGCCCAGGCCCTGAATTCAAGCCCCAGTACAAGGACAAAAAAAGAACCCATTGTAACAATGAGATGTACAAGACACTATGTTGAAAACGAACTTTATAACTTGTTGGGGGTAGGGAGGGAGGAGTTGGGGAGGTGGGAAGGAAAGGGATGGTAGGGAAAAACAAAGGAGGAGGTAACAATGCTTAATAGGAAATGTACTCATTACCTTACTTAAGTAACTATAACCCCTCTATACACTATTTTTATAATAAAAAACGTATTTAAAAGAATTTTGAATCAGGGTTGAAATTGTAAATAATACTGCACCTGCCTAGCCAAAATGAGGCTCTGATTTCAAACCCCAGCACCACCAAAAAGAATTTTTAAAAGAAAGACATTCTAATAGGAGTCCAGGGCCAGGCCCATGTGTGGTAGAGTGCTTGCCAAGAAATCCTACGATGGGCTTTCCAAATGGTAGGTCCACCTTTGCTGTTTCTTTTGGGGGGTGCAGGGGGTGCAGTGTTCAAAGATGGGTGGTGGAGATGACTGGATCATGACAACCCTGACCTCATCCATGGCACAGTCCACCGATAATCTTATAACTCAGTGTAAGAGGTGGTGTCCTAACTGGATGGCAGCAGTATCTGGGGTACTTGAAGGTTGTATTGTGTATCTTGTCTCCTCCCTTGCTTCCCGGCCACCCTGAGGTGAGCAGCTCTGCTCAGCCACTTTCCCACCATGATGTTCTGCCCTGACACAGTAATGGAGCCAGTCAGCCACCAACTGAAATCTCTGGAACTGTGAGCCAAAATAAACCCTCCTCTTTCTATCCATTTTTCTCAGATATTTTGTTACAGTGCCAAAAAACCCTGCTATTACCCAGTCACCATTTACTGAAACAGTCATGGTCTCTAGAGAGGAATTTTTTGAAAAATAGTACCTCATCTATGACTCATCTGCATAGGGCTCAGGAACTGACCACAGATCCAATGGCCCTGAAATCCAAGGACTCACCCTGTCTTCATGAACCCCTCGGCTACAGATTTGCTTATTCTTCAACACTCATACTCCACAACTACCTTCCCACTTTCAAACCATTAACACCTTTGCACTGTCTGCTCCTTTCATAGTCTCTCTATGCTAGGACAATATGCCCTTTTAGTATCTTTTCCATAATCTCAGCAGGTTTGGGAAATGTGAGTAAGATAAATGTACTTACATAACCTGTCTAACCCGATCACTATGTGACATTCTTTTCATGTTTATAGCTTAAATTTGTCAGAGCTAAAAGTAGCAATTATACACAGTATATATTAATTACTTTGTCTTATACCACGAATAAGAAGAAACATAAATATTAATGGCATTAGAATTCTTCAGTCTATTATTTAAATGCAAATATAAGTTTCATGTGTCCCAAACAGCAATAAAAGGAGGAGAATAAGGAAGGAAAGCACTTACGAATAATTTTGTTCCATATTTATTTCTTCTTTCAAGAAGACATCTCCATCTTCTACTTCCAAATAACTAATATCTGGTCCTTCTTGATATGGTGTAATGACTCTCCTATCCATGGCTGGAATCTGCGTAATTAAAAGGGTCACATTTCAAATCATAATTTTTACAGACTTCACAAAGTTAACAGAATGTGGTCGTTCATTTCAAAATAGTGACATTAACTAGAAAGCCTCTAGAATGCATGACTTCCTAAATTCACACAGGGAAAACATTTTCTATATTCACTAAAAAGTTCATTCCATTAATATTGTCAAAAACAAAACACCCACTAGGCACTGGTGGCTCAAACCTGAAATCCTAGCTACTTAGGAGGCTGAGATCTGAGGATCAAGAGCTGAGGGTTCAAAGCCAACCCACTCAAGATAAGAAAGTTTGTGAGACTCTTATCTCCAATTAACCACCAAAAAAAGAGAAGTGAAGGTATGGCTCAAAGTGGTAGAACATTAGCTTTGAGCAAAATCAGCTCAGGGACATCATCCAGGCTGTGAATTCAAGCCCAACCAGAAAAAAAAAAAAATAGAAAAATTGTTTAAAAAGATTGATACTAACTGTATCATTAAGTAACTTCAATTTCAATTATCATGGTAGTTATGTACAAATTTAACATAATTCTATATTCTTGTTTCTTTTTTTTTAAGTTTTAGCAAGGATTATAACAGAGTAGAGTGGGCAGAAAAAACATGTCCTAATACTCACACTGCACATGGACTTACATTTCATAAATTTTTACTAAAGAATTCTCATTTCTAAAAGACTCCATGTATTTAAAAGCCACAGGAAATTCTTTTCATTATGAAACTGAATCTAATATGGTATTTTACATAGCACTATTATGGTCACTGAATTCTTCACTGGAAACACAAAAATCTTACCATTTTCCAGTAAAATACAGAAAGATCCTTCAAAACATCTTCACTTAAAACATCAAGAGATCTAAATAGGATAAGAAACAAAATTCTATTTCAAATGACTTAACTGCTGTTAAGATTTTTAAAACAGGTAAAGATAATAGAAGCAGCCTAATAAGAAACACAGTTACTTTTCAAGATTAAGTTTACTAACTGTTACAATGTACTTTTGGAAACAGGAAGATTTCAAGTAAATAGCAAGCATTACAGGAATACTTTAAATAAAACCCAACTCTTATAATAGAATCCCTTTTTTCACAGTTAAGTAGCAAGTTTGCATTTTCTAATCTTCATTGTTAACAACCACAGAAGGAGTACAATACTGAAACTCAGTACAATACTGAAAGAACCCAGATTCTATCAAGAACCATCACTGCTACCAACAACCCTATGACCTTTGTTTTTCTGGGCCCTCACGTAGAAAATGAGGTTTGAACTACAACTGTATTTCTCTCAGGTTCCAAAGAAGTACAATTCATATACATGAATACATTAATGTATGCTTTTTTAAATTGTTTCTAGCACTAGTCCAAAACAACTTGCACATTGCATCTGTGTCTCATCAATCTTCAATAGGAGGATAACTGATACATTCACTTATGAGGCTGAGTCAAATTTGGTGCTCTGTACTGATACTTGATTAGGAACAATTAAGTCTTATATAAACCTTTGCTTTAACTTGTGCATGTCTACTCATGGAAACTGTATTTGACATTGCTGAAGGTGATGCCCGTAAGTGGCTAGGCTGACATAGCTGTCTCAACATAATACTTGAGACACATCATCATACTCAAGTGCAACATTTTAAATAGACTCAGTGTTTTATTTTTTGATTGCATATTTCATCTGACAAGGACAATGATATTAATGTGGCAATACAGAGTAATGAAACTGTTACCAGTAGTATTGGTAAAACAGTATCATCATGAAATTAAATTAGTTTAAAAACCTAACTAAAATAACATTGTCTCACCCATTTCATAACATTAGTTTGTACTTAAAAGCATTTGCAAAATTACTAATAAAAACTAAAAAGCAAAAGAATTTTCTCTAAATTGAGCTCTACCTGACAATTTCGGAATTGTCATTCAGCTCCAAGAAATAGTAAAATACCTTATTTCAATCATGTCTTCAAATTAATTTAATTCAAGATGATTTTGACTTTAAAATGTGACTTACTGGCCTGGGAATGTGGCTTAATGGTAGAGTGGTTGGCTACCATTCATGAAGCTCTAGGTTCAATTCTCCAGCAGCACATACAGGAAAAAGCCAGAAGCGGCACTGTTGCTCAAGTGGTAGAGTGCTAGCCTTGAGTAAAAGCAGCTCAGGGACAGTGCGTAGGCCCTGAGTTCAGGCCCCAGGACTGGCAAGAAAAAAAAATGACTTATCTGAATACTACTGGCTCACACCTATAATCCTCACTACTCAGGAGGCTGAGAGCTGAGGATATTTCAAAGCCAGCGGGCTTTGAAAATCCCTGAGACTTATCTACAATTAACCACCAGAAAACCAGAAGTGGTGCTGTGACACAAAGAGGCTCAGAAACAGCACCCAGGCCCTGAGTTCAAGCCCCAGGACCTGCCAAAAATAAAAAATTAAAGAGTGAATTATTAAAAAGCTGTTCACTTTATAACAATAAGACAGATGAAGATTTTTCCAATTTTTGCCCAAAAGAAAGGAGTTTCTGGGTTTTTTTTCCTTATCTGCATGATAAATGTTAACAGACTCTCTTTTGCAAAGTTTCCATGAAAATTATGGGAATTAATTTACATTTGGCTTTTAGAAAAATGCCCAGTAATCATTATATTCTAATTATCATAACCACTGAAACCAAATACAAAAATAACTACATAGTAGCACTGTTTTAGTTGTTGCCATTATTATTATTGCAACAAAATACAGAAATAAACTACACAATAAAGCTTTCATATATAAACTGCGACTAAAGATTCTGATCTCAATCATCCATGTTCACTAATATTGACTCATTTTTCTTCCCACTGATGTTATAGTGAGTAAAAGCAACACTCTGATCAACATTTTAAAATGTCTTAAACCAGGCACTGGTGGCTTACACCTGTAATCCTAGCTCCTCAGGCGGGTGAGATCTAAAGATCCTGGTTTGAAGCCAGCCTGGGCAGGAAAATCCTTGAGACTTTATCACCAATTAATCACACACACACACACACACAACAGAAACAGAGCTGTGGCTTAAAGTGGTAAAACACTAGCCTTGAACAAAAGAACGCAGAGACAGCACCCAGGCCCTGAGTTCAAGCCCCATGACTGACCAAAAAACATAATTTTTAAAAAATTCTTACCCGTGGCTCATGCCTGTAATCTAGCTACTCAGGAGACTGAGATCTGAGGTTCACAGTTCAAAGCCAGCTTGGGCAGGAAAGTCCGTGAGACTCTTATCTCCAATTAACCACTAGAAAATCAGAAGTGGCACTGTGGCTCAAGTGGAAGAGCACTAGCCTTGAGCTGAAGAGCTGAGGGACAGTGCCCAGGCCCAGAGTTCAAGCCCCACGACTAACAACAACAACAACAAAATCCTTATTAACCAAGTGTAGTGACATATACCTCTGTAATGCCAGTCCTCAGGAAGCTGAGGCAGGATCATCAGTTTTAAGCTAGCAAGTCTATAAAACTCACCTTGTCTCAAAAACATAAAATAAAATAACTGATTAAAAAAAGATTTTACAAATCCCCTATTATTCACTTTCAAACAGTTAGCATATTTTCTATTAGAAATATTTATGCATCTGCTCTTCTAAAACATATAATGTATATACTCAACCAACCTTGCTTCAAGTACAGCTGCCATATTCAGTCCAATAAACTGTAAACAAGACAGTTTCAGCTGTTCAGCATTATACATTGCTGCAAATTCCAGCAGCATAGCAGCATTCTTAAGGGTAACTAAAAAGAAAGAGTTGCAAAACTTGAAGAAAGGCAAGTTACTACAACAAATAAGACAGTTATTTTGAAACTCATAAGACTAGAAAACTTAAAACAAGGAATACTTAAAAGCATTTTCTTATCAAAACCAACTTATACTGGAACAAATATAGAACTCATGTCCTATCACAATAGCTGCAGTAGTTTAAAAAGACATGCTCAGTACTGGTGTCTCACACCTGTAATCCTAGATACTCAGGAGGCTGAGATCTGAGGATTGTATTTCAAAGCCAGCCCAGGCAGGAAAATCCGAGACATCTCCAAATAACCACCAGAAAACAGGAAGTGGAGCTGTAGCCCCACGTGGTAGAGTACTAGCCTTGAGCAGGCCCTCAGTTCAAGCCCCACAACTAACCAAAAAAACCCCAAGAGACACACATAAAAATCTTGAGAAAAACAAACTGTAAAAGGAGTATTAAGTATCATCTAAAAGCAAACACTATAAGAAAAATATTCTTCCTAACGAAAGTATTCCTTTTGAATACTTTTTTTATTGTCAACTTTTCATTTATGCAGCACCAAGTAGTTATTCTCTCTTGTATGAAACTAACAGATTAAAACTATGAGAAACTGATCAAATAATTGTATAAAGTATTGTCTACTAATCTATCAGAATATATATGTATATATTTGAAAAACACATCTTAGTCTTAACATGATCTGTGCTAGTACAGCAACTAATACACACTGAAAGAATCTGAATTTAGCAACAATCTTATTAACTTATATATGAAGTGTGTATTTTGCTAAAAACCCTCCAATTACATTCTATCTATACGCCACTAACTACAGCTTCCTGAAACTATTCTTTTTCTCACTGAGTCCTCATCCACAGAGGAACACAACTACTTTCTATATATAGCTGCTTCTTTTTCCTCTGAATGTTGTCCAAAGTTGAAATTACAGACAATAATGGGTCTCGGTTTCAATCATAACTAACCTCGTTTCAAATGATGATGAAAATATCTTACATCCCACAGGGTAATAAAAGTGTATCATAGAAAGTTATTGAGTAGACCTAAGACCTGAACTTGCCCAACAGTCCATCAAACTATTTTTTTCTAGTTTTTAGGAAGACCATGGAATTCATTCATAGAGACAACTGTGCAGAAGGTGTAAAGAAAAAATATCCACAGAGGTCTGGAAAGTCAAATGGGTGAAAAACATCACCTGTATGCTTATCTTAAATCTATTATATGCTTATATTTTAATATTTCTTTTCTTGGTCATAAAAGATCAAGAGTATTGTCTTTCTGGTAACTAGGAAATTAGTCCAGTTTATAGAATTATTTCATCAATTTCTATCAGTGCTCACAGAAAAATAAGGAAGACAACAGAGCTATGCAACTCTTAGCAAGAGCACATTATAAAAACGTAGTAATAACTTCTTCATGCATCCTAAAGTAACAAAAAGCAAAACAAATATAAATTTTAAGTATCTAAACACAGAGAAGATATAATTACTCCCTGTAGAAATATTAAAGAAAGTAGAAGGATGAAAAGTATTTAAACACTACTTTGACACTACATAAAAGAACAGCGTCATCCAGGCACCAGTGGCTCATGCCTGTAATACAGGTAATTCAGGAAACTGAGATCTGAGGCTCAAAGTTCAAAGCCAACCCAGGCAGGAAAGTCCGTGAGACTCCTATCTCCAATTAACTACTCAGAAAGCCAGAAGTGGTGCTGTGGCTCAAGTAGTAGAGTGCTCGCCTTGAGGTGAAGAACTGAGGGATAATGCCCAGGCCCAGAGTTCAAGCCCCAGGACCACACAAAAAAAGACAGAAAGAAAGAGAGAGAGAAAGAGAGAGAGACAGAGAGAGACAAAGAAAGAGAGAGACAGAGAAAGAGAGAGACAGAGAAAGAGAGAGACAGAAAGAGAAAGAGAAAGCGAAAGAGAGAAAATAGCAAACCCTGCCTTCCACAGAGAGACAGTGGGAACCAGAAGGTGGGAAAATGTGAACAACACAGTTGAGACAATTTTGACAGTTAAAGAATCTTGGCACAAAAGAAAAATAACAAAAACACAAAATAATTGTGGATTTCTAAGTTGAGTGTTCAGGAGAATAGCCACAAAATTAAGCAAAATAACAGGAAAAAAAGAGAAATACATATGAATGGAACAAAGCTGTGGCTCACACCTGTCATCCTAGCTGCTCTGTAACTGAAATCTGAGAATTGAGATTTGAAGCCAGCCCTAGTAGAGAAATCTGAGAGACTTTATCTCCAATTAACCCTTAACCAGAAAAGAGCCTTAGAAGTGAAGGCGCAGCTCTGCTGGTGTAGTACCAGCTGTGAGTGGAAAAGTCCATGAAAGCAGGAATGCCGCGTCCTGATGGTAAGCCTGACTACCAAAAAAGAAAAAGGGGGAAGGAGGGAGGGAGAGGAAAGGAATGGAATTGGGGGAGGAGAGACAGAGAGAAGTGGGGGAGGGGGCACAAGAGGGAGGGAGTAAGGAAGGGAGAGAGGGGAAAGAGTGGGGGGGGGAGGAGACACTGCAAGAAAGAGAAAGGGAGAGAAAGAAAAGGAAGAAAAAAGGAAAAAGGAAAGGAAAGGAAGGAAGGAAGGAAGGAAGGAAGGAAGGGAAAAAGAGAAAGAAAGGATTACAGCAAATAATAAAAACTAAGCAGCTAAATGCAGAGGTAACAACCAAGATAAAAATAAAGATAAAAATAATCTTGCTTTCTAACATTTGAAATTCTCAGTTTGGTAACACATGGGTATTTGGGGGGAGGGGTTGTTTTTGTTTTTTTTTTTGTTGGTAGGGGGGCTTGAACTCTGGACCTGGGCGTTATCCCTCAGGCTCTTCAGTTCCTGGCTCTACCACTTGAGCCACAGTGCCACTTCCTGTTTTCTAGTTGTTTATTGGAGATAAGAGTCTCACAGACTTTTCCTGCCTGGGCTGGCTTTGAACCGTGATCCTCAGATCTCAGCCTCCTGAGTAGCTAGGATGACAGGCATGAGCCACCGGCGCCCGGCTTCAGTTTGGTAACGTTTGTAGTCATGACTTTATGACACCTTAATAAATGCTATGAGCAAGAATATGAGACCAAGTTTAAGTCCTGGGACAGGCACATAGTAATAACAACTATTATTATTATTATTGCTGCTTTACTATAATGAAAAACTAAAGTCAATAAAGTAAGCTTGGTTCAATCAGAAAATATACTGATTCTAATTTAAAATTACTCACGTTTCTCAGTTAGTGCTACTTCACAAACCTCCTTCAATCGAATTATGAGAAGCTGGTCAGCTACCACAAGAACACTACAAATAAAATCCACATTTTGAGATTCTAACAAAAAAAAAGAAAACAAGTATTACTCTCTTTACTTTCTAGACATTATATTTAGTAAAGAAAAATAAACTAAAAGAAAATTAAGACATTAGTAAAGAAAGAATTCTGATTACTTCTTTCCATATATTGAAATGACTCCAATAGAGTATGGCTAGATAATATAGATGACAGATAGATATACAGATAAATATGATATATAGATATACATAGGTATATATGGATACAAAGGAGTTCTCCAGACTTTCTTATTTAAAACATAATTTATCATCTAACACTTCAAACAACACTAAGAAATCTTTAAAGTACTACCAATTGACTTAAACCACTGCAAATCTATTATAAACAAAAAGGAAACTATAAATGTGGGGGATAGGAAAGGAGAAGGGAAGAGGAATTGCTGGCATCACACAGGTGAACCCTGAAAACATGCTCCATAAAAGAAGTGCTAGACACAAAAGGCTATGCAGTTTGATTCTATTTAGAAAAAATATCCATCACAGGCAAATCCAAAGACAAAAAAAGAACAGTGATTGCTAGAGAATTTCTAGTGATGGTTAGAAGACAAGATTATTTTGAGAGGTAATGAAAATGCTCTGAAATTACTAAGTAGTGATGGCTGCACATTTGAAATTGGTTAGCTAAATGCTCAAGTATATGAAACTTCATAAATCTTGTCCTTAGTTAAGCTCTTTTTAGTACCTTTTATCACCACAGCTTCATCAGTATAGAGGTAGTCCAAGATAACTTTCAGTATTTCAGAATGCATTGGCATTTCCAGAGATGCACAGCTGGAAGCCTAGGCAGAGTAAGATTACAAAAAAAGAAAATAACTCATAATTAATATGGAAAGTTTGGACAGGAAACTATAATCAAAAGCTCGAAACAAAAACCTTATAAAACTGAGACATATATAATTCTAAAGTATTTTATAAAATAGAAATATATACCAAAAAAATAAAATAGAAATAAAGAGCAATTCAGAAAAAAGATTGGTATTCCCAGTATAAATCATAAAAAGGAAATTCTGATTTAAATAGCTTCTAAGCAATGATTTTAACTTTCAAAGATTGCTATTTTCTAGAAGGCGTTAGCATAAATACAAGTTTAATACAAATGAAAAACCAAGTTAAAATATTAATTTCTAATTCTGAATTTCTTTGTCATATAATTTCCCAAAAGTATAAAGTACAGTTATTAGACACTTTCCATTGAAATCTTACCTCAATCCATGAGCTACTCAGCATACTATGGAAATACTCTGAAAGGAATAAAGTTCAAAACAATAAGAATGAAGCAATACTAACAAGTAAATCAGGTGCTAACACAAAGTGACCTACCCAGTCTAGCGCATAGCACACATTTGTGACAGGGAAACTCCTTCCCATCCACTGATTTCATGGTCACATCACACAGAAATGAACTGCAAACAGATGTTTAATTTAAAATCAGAGAAATTTCTTTATATATGTACATCAAATTTATTAAAGGACTTGGTTCAACTTAGCTAAAAGAAGGCAGAATTAAAACCTTGTAGATATACATACAAATACAGTACTTCATCTCCCTACACCTCAGGTAAGTTAGTAAGTTTAAAGGGGACAGAGTTAGATATACACTTAAAAATATCTTTCAGCCGGGCTCACACCTGTAATCCTAGCTAGTCAGGGGGCTGAGATCTGAGGAGTATGGTTCAAAGCCAGCCCGGGCAGGAAACTCTGTGAAACCCTTATGTCCAATAAACCACTAGAAAAACTGGAAGTGGTGCTGTGGCTCAAGCAGTAGAGCGCTCGCCTTGAGCTGAAGAGCTGAGGGACAGCACCCAAGCCCAGAGTTCAAGCCCCACAACTGACAAAAAAAAAAAAAAATTATCTTTCGGCTGGTTTTCCTTTCCTCTTCCAGACAGGGTTATTAGTGACAGTTAAGAGACATCATACTTAACTCTTATTTGTACCAGGCACTGATTAGAAGGCCCCATCTCCTAAGCTTTTCACCTCAATGTACAAATACTTTAACAAAAAACTTTTAAAAATATATGTTTAGAATACTGTTATCTATTCCTGGAAAAAATTGCACTGAAGGAAATAATCAAAATGAAAATAAATCGTTTCATTCAGTGGTCTATATCAAATCCTACTTAAAACAGAAAAATTCAAACAAAGAAAACAAAAATTAAAATTTCTTCTCTTCATTAGAAAGTAATCACAAAGAATAAGCTTCTTCCATGTCTTATTGAATAGTCAATGTTATCCATTAATGTTTTCCATTAATATTATTTCAACATTTAATAAATAAATATTAGAAAAGGTAAGAGAGGGTATCTATCTACATATTTGGCTTGTGGGTAAAAGCTCTATTCCCATGCTTATGCATTAAGATATGAAAACTGTATCCTCACTTCCCAACTTACCACTTTTTCTGATTGAGCTTCAGTTTATTACCAGTTTTCTTTGCAATAACATTAATTTTTTCATTTTCAAATCTGACACCATCTAACCTATCAAGAAAAAGGATAAGTTAACAATGGGTGGATTTATTCCCCAACCAAGACAAAGTCTCAAAAACCATGCTAACAAGGTTAGATCTAAACTCAATTATATTGCTTCCTGAAAATTCCTCAATGCAATCTCATTCCCAGATAAAATAAAACTTCAATTTTGAATAGAATTCAAAATGTTAAATAATTATTACTGACAAAACACAAAGCCAGAACACTATGTGCTTCACTGTTTGCACTAATATATATCCTTCCTGCTCACCACACAGGTTTATACTGCCACAAGCAACAGGTGCCTTGGAAATTAAAAATCAAAAACTCTGCTTTCTATGACAATACTGTTAAGACATTAACACATTTAAGGAGACTTGTATATCTATTATTGTATATACTGTGAAACTGAAGAGGCAAAGGGATTTGCCCCAGCCAGTAATAGCAGTGACAGAAAGAATATACTGTACAGGTTTAACACCAAAGATCCTCCCAGTACACTGTAACACACCTCCTATCCATCAATATTTGATCTAGAAGTTCCAGAGATGACTCCCCCAAACAAAGCAAATACACATCCATGTATCTCACCCAAAAAGAGGTAATTAGAAAGATGGGGGTTAAAAAAAAAAGAAAAAAAATGATTTAAAAGGAGAACTTAGTGAGGAAAGTATAGAATAGATATTAAGGAAAAGTCTTACCTACTACTCAAATTACTGAGGCCAAATTTCTTTGCAACATTTTGCAACAATCTTACAGGATCATCCTCCCCATGGCTTTTTCCTTTTTTAGAAGATTTCAGTTTGCTTTTCTGCCTTTCACTAATTGTATGGGCTTGATTACTTTTGTAAACTGCATACGCTGACTTCTGATTATCATCTTCATAGCACTTTATTTTGTTCACATCAGTATTCAGAGAGCCCTGATACTCTTCTGACTTTTTGGTTAAGAGAATTCTTGGTTTGAAGCCATGAGTTAAAAAGTCACAAGTATCCGTATATATAAATTGCAAAAGGTATTCAAACAAATCAGGATGAACTTTATCTACCACAAAGAGATGACACCCTGAAGAATCTTCATCTTTCCGGTAAACATCGGTCAATTCTGAAGAAGTAGTGCTATCTGAAAGAAATAATTTCTGAAAAAAGTCAGAGCGCACTGCCAGGACGTATTTATGTGCAGGGAAGATTCTATTGCCAACTTGGAAGGTCACATCATGGATGTTGTCCATTTCATCTGTTTCCCTTAACAGTTTGCCAAACTCTTCAAAAAAGGATGATGAAGACACCACTGGAACTTCATAAAGGCTAGAAATAAAAATACAGTGTTACTTTAAAGGCTATGAAGAGGAAGCATCTCTAGCTGATTCTCTTGAACATTAATTTTTTATTAAACAGAGACTTTAATTTGGCATTTCGTAAAGACAAGAATATCACATCAAGTCTTACATATCTTATCAACTTCTAACTTTTCTTATTCCTTTTCATATTCATGTATTTTCTCTCATATTAAAATGGTAAGAATTAAATTTTCCTTTGAAATCAATGTCCTCTTTTTCTAAAAGTAAATGTTAGAACAAATTCAGAAGACTTTCATTAAAAAAAATTAACCATTAAGCATATAATTAAAACTATTTGAAGACAATGAAAAGTACAGTTCCCTAACTTTTCTTCTTTTACCTATCTTTTATTTCACAAGAAGACCAAGCAAATACTTCAAGTCTCAGATCAGAGAACAGGATCACACTAATCAGTTTATAGCCCTCATTCTTTCAGTACTGTAAGAAAGCACCACAACTGCCCACCTACCTACATGTCCCCCACAAGCAGGGGGACAAGCCTGCCTGACTCACTGCAGAATGTGGGTTTTTTTATTAGATGCTTAAACCGTCTGACCTTCCCTCTTCAACAGTACCCCTGATGTTTCCATTAGTCTACCTCTCTACTTAACATGACTCAATAACATTTAAGAAAGAAAGTTATACCTTGCTTTAGGATCCGACTGCAGAATTGCAAAGTTGCATCCGCTTGGATCTGTGCTGACACTAACAGCTCTGTGGGCAAAAGTAAGTTTCTCAAGTCGAATCCTTTCATACATACTATTTGTATCAGAGACACAAGACACTTCTGATGAGGAATGATGTACATTTGATAAAATGTCTGGTAAAAGAAATAGACTATCATTAATTAAGCTTTACAGACAGTATTAAAATAATCTGAAAGTAGAATCAAAAACAATTTTTAAAATATGGAAATAATCTTTCATATATATTAAGTCTGCAGAACCTCTATCTTCAATGCATTAGGCACTACCTACAGGGGATTGTGGTGAGCAAATATTAAGCCATGACTTCATTTCGGTGAACAAACACATCTCTATTCTACAATCAAAGTTAGCCTTTTGAAAGGTAAATCTATTCACATCTCTTAAACTTGGCAATGTGCATTAAAAATATATAAATGTACTATCTTTATAATCTGCCTGTTTTTTCCTTTCTTCTCTCCCTTTCTTGCATTTATCCAGCAAATACCTGATAAACATACCATAGTTCTGTGATACAGTGATTGTCCATCTACCTACAGAGAAATAGCAGTGACAGAACACATCCCTACCTCCATCAAACCCACAACCTAGCAGGGAAAATAGCATTAAACAAATGATTGCATTACAAGTCAAACCCAGGCTATAAAGCAGAACATACAGGGTTCCACATAGACATGAAATTTGTAAAGAATGGATTCTGGCTGTAATGAACACAAGGAATCTACATTATTTTAGGTCCAGAAAAGAATAACTATGATACTATTGAGGTAGCAACAATCATTAACTGGAGGAAAATGTAAAGATTTTAAACATTCGCAATACAAACAAAAACCCTGATGACTGATAAGATCAACAGAGGAGGAATAGGGATGATCAGCAGCAGCCCTTTACAGACAGGAAACTCTAAAAAAGCAGATGTGGGATCATGACATCATGACCTCAGTTTCAGAGCATTTAAATATGACTAAAACAAAATCCTAAGGGCTACCAAAATCTGTAAAACTATTCTGATACGCTCTCATATTTACTATCATTTCAGCATTACGGGGCTTTACTACCCTTGCTAGAGCACCCAGTTACTCAAGTTTCTATGATTCTAAGAAACTTATTATGTGCATATTAGTCTTTGTCTCAGTGAACTGTAAGGTTTATATACATGTAGATTATCACTATATAGATTATCTCTATAAACTTAGGAGTAGGTAAGAAAAGGGGTTCATCATATATTTCTGTATTATTAAAACTTTGTCCTTATCTAAACATAGCAAATATACTTTAAATATTTTCAAACTTGAGTATCTTTAAAGAAATACTGGTATATGCAAAAATTGGAATTTTATGCAGCCACTAGGAAGAACAAAATCATGTCATCTTCAGGGAAATGGACAGATCTGGAAAATTCCACACAAAGCAAAGTAAGCCAAGACCAGAAACAGTAAGGATGCATGTTTCTCTCACATGTATATGCAGGAGTGACTCTTCACTCAAAATTTAATGAAATTGTAATGGAGAAGGGGGACGGACAGACATAGTGAGAGGGTAAATGAATGGAAAAAGGAAGGGGGACAAATATAGCAAAGACTACTCAATGTACATATGTGATAAGAGAAGTTGTAAATGTGAAATGAGTCTGGAGAAATGGAGGAAAATGATGAAAGGGGTAAATGATTAAGAACCAATGAACACTTAGATGGGTGCATTAAATTGTAATCCCCTTGTACAATCTTTTGAAATTCAGAAAATAATAAAAATGAAATTTAAAGAATTTTAAAAATGAATAAACTATACAAAACTAATTCTTTTTTATTTATGATTTAAAAATATAATTTTTTATTAATCATAAATGGTTTTTTTTGTGTTTTTTTTTTAGGTCCGGTTGTGGGGCCTGAACTCTAGATCTGGGCACTGTCCCTCAGCAGCTCAAGGCTAGTGCTCTACCACTTGAGCTACAGTGCCACTTCCAGCTTTTTTCTTTTTTGCTTATGTGGTGCTGAGGAATGGAACCCAGGGCCTCATTCATGCAAGGCAAGCGCTCTACCACTGAGCCACCTTTCCAGCCCTCATAAATGTTTTTAATATGTACTTTCAGCATATAACTATTTTATTCTTTCAAGAGATGATTCAGTGAGGAAATACAATGTGCTAGAAAATATACCAAATGCTAGAGACCAGTAAGATATTCATGGTCCTTGCCATTGATCAGTGTACAAACAGTCTAACAGGAGACAGGAAATAAACTCATCAAAAAAAGTACATAAATGCACAAAAGTAAACCTAATAATACTTGTAAAATTAAAGGTAAACTGAAGGGTACTTTTGTGTACTGTCCATCTACATAAACTGACCTTTCTTTTCAGAATTCTTTCTTTTTTCTTCAAACCATTTCCCTTTAAATCCTTCCCCATCTTGTGTGACAAACAGAAGTTCATTTCTATTTAAGGCAATATCAGAAATTAAGACTTGGCGCGGATATGCCCATCGACATTGCTTAAGAGAACTGGTAGCTGATCTCCAGCAGAACACCTAAAAAAAAAAAATCATACCACAATAAAATATATATATATAGCTTCCAAACCAAGAAATAACAGTCAAAAAACTCTATTAGTGTAATTTCAATGATCATTCTTTCACAGAAAAGATAATACACAGGTCAAAATTCTTTTAAAGAGTACTTTCAGGAAAGTACACTTAGCAAACATGAAACATTAAAATGTATGTCAATACATTCTTCTTAAAGGGATGAAATTTTCTGCTGAGTGCCAATGGCTCACACCTATAATCCTAGCTACTCAAGAGGCTGATCTGAGGATTGCGGTTCAAAGCCAGCCTGGGCTGGAAAGGCCATAAGACTCTTATCTCCAATAAACTACTTGGAAAAAGCCAGAAGTACACTGTGGCTCAAAGTGGTAGAGTGCTAGCTGTAAGCAAAAGAAGCTCAGGGACAGCACCCAGATGCTAAGTTCAAGCCCCAGGACTGGCAAAAGAGAGAGAAATATATAATTACTTCTTTGGAGCAAACAATTTTGTTACAATGCTATAGAAAACCAAAATTTCAAACTAAAACAGATGGCCGTCAAGGCCATGAAATGTCACAAAATGCACTTACACACTACTATCCATACCTAAGTGTTAACCAAAGGTTTCATTTCCGCTTTAGGTGAGTCAAGGAATAGATAAGTTTAACTTACCCACCCAGGTCACTAACCCATGATAAGACAATGTAATAATCCATCAAATCTCCCCACTCTTGGGACAGGGTCAGTGTCCCTGGTTCTGGGGACTGGCTTCTGGGGAGGGGCTTAATGATAAAATAAAAACGTACAATAAAACTCTTACTGGGGGGCTGGGACGGTGGCTCAGTGGTAGAGCATTTGCCTTGCATGGCTGAGGCCCTAGGTTCGATTCCTCAGCACCACATAATTAAAAAGGAAAAAAAGCTGGAAGTGGCGCTGTGGCTCAAGTGGTAGAGCACTAGCCTTGAGCTTAAGAGCTGAGGGACAGCGCCCAGTCCCAGAGCTCAGGCCCCACAACCGGACCAAAAAAAAAAAACTCTTACTGGAGGGGCTGGGAAGTTGGCTCAGTGGTAGAGTGCTTGCCTTGCATGCATGAGGCCCTGGGTTCCATTCCTCAGCACCACATGAGCAGGAAAACCCAGAAGTAGCACTGTGGCTCAAGTGGTAGGGCGCTAGCCTTGAGCTGAAGAGCTGAGGGACAGCGCCCAGGCCCAGAGTTCAGCCCCCAAAACCAAAAAAAAAACAAAAAAAAACCTCTTACTGGAGTAAAATAATTCATTCTTACCCTGGAGATTATTCACTTTCAGTCTGCTGAAAGTGTGTACTTTTCCTAATAAACTTTCATATCATAAGAAAGAAACAAACATATGCATAACTCAGTCACATAAGTACAACAAAATCTTAACAGGTAGAAAAATTGTCCTGAGAGTTCAACGGCTGTAAACTTTCATATCATAAGAAAGAAACAAACATATGCATAACTCAGTCACATAAGTACAACAAAATCTTAACAGGTAGAAAAATTGTCCTGAGAGTTCAACAGCTGCACATGGTTGCAGAGACCTTAGTACTCAGAGACAACTGCTGAGATGCAGAGTGGTGTGAGAGGGCTGCCAGGCCTCCCATCCAGTCTCATGCACCTCATCCAGAGCAAGCTTGCAATCACCCATTCATTAGCATTGCATGCCTGACTTTTTTACAAACTGAAAGTGCTCTATCTGTTCTTTGTTTTGATAGGGTCTTCCCAGGCAGCCCAGGCTGGCCACACACAAGCAATCCTCCCGCCTTCTGTATCCTAAGAGCTAAGCCACCTGTCTACAGCTACCAGAAAAAATGAGGGATTTTTAAAACTAAAATGCCCCCATAAACCAATCTATAAGAATGAAAGCACAAAATGGTATCTGCCAAGGTTAAACTAAAGTTATACATACATACATACATACACAAAAAAAAATTTAAATGGTAATAAAATTTGCCTATAATAAACAAGTATTATGGAGCTTTAAGATTTATTCTTTTTTTTTTTTTTTTTTGCTTGTCCTGGGGCTTGTACTCAGGGTCTGGGCAATGTCCCTGAGTTTCTTTATGTGCAAGACTAGCACTCTACCACTTGAGCCACAACTTCACTTTCAGCTTTTTCTGTAGTTAAATGGATATAAGAATCTCACAGACTTTCCTGCCTGGGCTGGCTTCAAATCACAATTCTCAGATCTCAGCCTCCTGAGAAGCTAGAATGATAGGCATGAACCACCAGTTCCCAGCTTTAATTCTTCAATTTCTTTTTTTTTTTTTTTTTTTGGTCAGTCATGGGGCCTGAACTCTGGGTCTGGGCGCTGTCCCTCTGCTCTTCAGCGCAAGGCTACTGCTCTACCACTTAAGCCACAGTGCCACTTCTGGCTTTTTCTGCTTATGTGGTGCTGAGGAATCGAACTGAAGGCCTCATGTATGCAAGGCAAGCACTCTACCACTGAGCAACCTTCCCAGCCTAATTCTTCAATTTCTAAGATGACAAATTTCATAGTACTTTTAAGAATCTCATAAAAGGTTCTTTGTTTATAAGCAAAAGACAAAAAAGGTGTTTTTTAGCCTGTGTCTAAATAGTTCAATTATTAATATAAACCAATTTTAAAATATAACTTCAAATGTAAATATTTAAACTTTACTAAACTGTTTAAAAACACATTTATAGTTTAGCAACGTATCAATTTAAGCATGCATTTAAATATAAAAATTTTTAATTTTCAACTTTAATAGAGAAATGTAATGATGTTATTTTCACAGGGAACTAAAATTGGAACTCTAATGAAAGAGCTAAGAGATTAGCATTTATACATAGAATGTCAGTATTTATAAACATTGAACATATATATCCTAAGTCTGAAAGAAAATTTTTCCAAGTATGCATCAAATTTGTAATATTGATGTTTCCTAATTTGTTTTTTGGTTCTGTTTTGGTTTGGGTATTGCAGCCTGGGGTTGAGCTCAGGGCCTTCACACTACTAGAGAAATACCTTCAGCTCCTTTCTGTGCTTAGGGTTACTTTCTAGACAGGGTATCACTGTCTGCCCAAGCCAGTCAGAACATCAGTCCTTCAGCTCTTGACTCACTGTGCATCAGGGTTGATGGGAATGAACCACACACCCAGCTGGGTAGGAAGACACCTTGTCTCTTGCTTGGACTGCCTCAAATGAGATCTCTGCCACCCTGAGTAGCCAGTATCACACGTGTGAGCCACTATACCCAGCTCGCCTGTTTACTTTACAAGTAGTTACAAACCTCTTATCGATATAATTTAACATCATTTATCAATATTGAATGTACATACCAAATAATTTATTCAAGTTCTTCATGTAGTTGCATAATTCTAAATTTTACTTTAATAGAGAAACCCTATGCAACATTAAACCATTGTCATATTTTCCCTGAAATACGAACTCCATAATAATTAGTATTGGATAGCAAAAATAAGCAGCAAAACAAAGTCAACAGAAAACATCACTGACATGATAATACTCTTTTCTATGATTGGTTTCCTACAGCTGTCACCTGAGATGGGATCATAACACTTGCACATAAATATACACACCCTTCCAGCTCCATCCATCGCGAGAATGCAGATCTTCTGACCCCCATTTTCTTTCAAATGTTCAGGATCAACTTTGTACTCCATACGACCCCCAGACACAAGAATCTTTTTCAAGTTCAACTGTCTGGATTAAAACAGAAACAAAATCCCTAAATTACTGTTTTCTAATGCACACACCTACACTTAATTTTTAAGAAATGGCTATTCAAATAACCATCAATAGGTAATTAGGACAATTAAAGGAAAGTGGTACTGTTTCTGGGACCCCAACCCCTCCTTTCCTCTTCAAGCAGCTGTTTCGTCCACATAGGCCAAGTCCTATTCTCTCAGCCTTTTATTTGCATACACAGACCATTCAATAACTAAATCCCTTTACTACCATACATTTGGAGGCCAGATGGTGGGTAAGGTTATAAACCCCAAGTGTGCCTATTTTAACAACAACAATTTAAACTTCAAAATGAAACTGAAATGCTATCTTCAAACATGGCCAACCCTAAGTACAAGTAGCCACACCTACCATGAAAGTCATCACTATTGCTAATTAATAACTCATCCATTAGGCCACATTTCAGCATATCTATGTATCTGACGTGCACAAAAGTGAGCCCTGCCTGCTGCTAGTCCCGTGATTGTCCTCCCTTTCAGATAGTTTACCTGCATTAAAGAAAAACATTCCTTTCAAATTCTTATACCATAATCTACCCATAAGAAAAGAATTTTTAAAGCAAACTTGAATATAATTTGTATCTATGTAATTTAATGCTAGAAGGGAAAGTTTTATAAATAACAAAAATACAATTAATATCCCACAAAGCAATTCAGACCCAGAAAAAAAAATCTATTGAATTCAATTCTAAAGTCAATTCTAAGAAATGTTCACATTTCCATACATTCAGTTGTTTTTATAACTAAAATGGGTTCTACAATTAATACAAGTAACTTTGTTAAGCAAAAGATAATTATGAGCAAATGAAGTTTGATACTTTCTGCTTAAAAGTTAACTTCATGAGTAACCTGTTTATGAAGTTACTACCCCTTTTGCACACACAAAACATAATTGCATTTAATTTTTGTGTGTGTGTGTGTCAATTGTGGGGCTTGAACTCTGGGCCTGGGTACTGTCCCTGAGCTCTTTTGCTCAAGGCTAGACTAGCACTCTACCACTTTAAGCCACAGTGCCACTTCCAGTTTTCAGGTGGTTAATTGGCGATAAAATTCTCATGGACTTTCCTGCCTGGGCTGGCTTTGAACTGCATTCCTCAGATCTCAGTTTCCTGAGTAGCTAGGATTGCAGGAATAAGCCACTGGCGCTCACCTCAAATTTACATCACTAATTGCTTTAAAAGTTAGATGCTGCTCCCTAGAATTCTTTCCGACAACCATTCTCTTTCAATAATGAGTTCTATTTGTACGAAGGTTTATTTCTGTTCTTTTATTATGGTAACTGAGTAATATAATCAAATATTGGTCTGAAAAAGGAAACTTTTTTCTATAAAAATCAAACTTTAGAATGATATATTTACAATACAATAGCAAAACACTGCAGTAAATGAAATGTGGATCAATCCACTACAGAAGACTGAAATCCATTAAAAATACAGGATTCATCACAAATTACCTTTAAGTACTTGTTCCTTACATTATTTGTCTGTCAAGCACAGGTGAAACATTTTGAGTATGGCTTATAAGCTAAAGACAGTGAACTAAAAATTGGCAGACCTATACATACCTACAATTTCATGATTTCTTTTTCAAACTTTTTGACTACCCAATCAACTATGAGTTTACTGCATACCACAGTAAGATGCTTTCAGGTAACAACAGCCTACACAAGTATATAGATAAAACATGCACCAGTTAGATATAAACACTGGATCTGAGCAGGGTCTTATGATACACAACTGTGACCATATACAATTACTTCTTTAAAATAGTGGATAGTACGTAAAAGGCTACAGATGAACCAATGAGAACTGTCACAAACCAAGAATTATGATTATTCTAGTACAGTGTGCCAGATACTTAAAAAAAAAAAGGTCTGGTGAGCCAGATACTTAAAAAAAAAAGACATTTAACTATGTTTTAGGTACTATTTAACCAAAAGTTAACTATATCTCAGGAATACTGTTTTATAACTTACAAAGAAATCTTATATTCACTGGATCCTTGCCAAAAGACAAAAATCATCTGAGACAAAGATTCCTGACTTTCTTCCTTTTCAATTTTTTTCACTTATCATTTACAAAGCACAGCCTAGCTGGCACTCAGATGCCTGCTGGAAGAGTAGACACATACTTGGACGCCATCTTCTTGCACTGGTAGTCCGCAAGTAAGTAAATGTCTCCCCTGGTGGTGACACATACTGTTGCCCCGTCACCTGCTGCCACCAAAGACAGGCTGATGTCCTTATGGTGAAGGGCAGAGACTTGGCGGGGGGCGGTCACACACTTTTCTCCATTAGGATCTAGAAGATAACCTAAAACATTACACAAAGAAGTAAGTCAGAAAATAACTGTTTTCAGGCCAATTTATTTTGTAGACACTGGCCTGAAAGATTCTTACCCAGCTGTCCACCATTGAGTCCCATGGTATAAACTGCCTCTCTGGTCCACAGTACCGTATGAAACCGGCCGGCTGCGACACCAACAATTGTCCTTCCTTTCAGATATTTTGCCTGCATCTATTTAAATAGACAAATAAGACTGCAATTGATTATATGTGTGTCACCAAGTACCATTTTTTCAAAGATACAATATCAAGGGTAACAAGAATTTGGTAAAGATGCTACCTCCACCTTCCCGAGTACTAATGCAGTCACTGCTACCAGTTGCCCACACTCACCCTGACACCCGAACCCCTTTCACAACACAACATATCCTGGGGCAGCCACTTTCAGTCAGCAGTTTTAACACAGACCATTAAACTGGCCTGCTATAAAAACCAAAGCCTTGTACCCTGGGTTATTTTGTTTCTTTTGCAACACATGAAACAGATGTTTTCAGGAAATACAGTACATTTTAATTTGACATATTCTGGATTTAACAAGTCACATCAGTGACATTTCAAGACAGCTTCTTTAGTATGATGGAATACCTTCAGTGCTATAGGATGCTAAGCAGCATACCTGGACTCTACCTGGCCACTGGCCACAGCCCTATCATTCCACTCTGTTTTCACAACTAAAACGATCTCCAGACACTGTCTAGTGGCCCCGGGAATCTAAACTGCCTCAAGTAAACAACACTAGACAGGACTCCAAGGTAGCTATATAATGAGAATAAAAATGCGACTAACACCTATTTGCCATTCCTAAAGAAGTCTACAAAATGATTAAATATCCTCAAATTACAGATTCTTGGAGAATGTGTATCTTCTAAAGGAATTATCAGAACCACAAGTAGAGCATGGCTCAAGTGGGTCCATCCTTGAGCAAAAAAGCCAAGCAAGAGTGCCAGGCCCTGAGTTCAAGCCCCATTACTGGTACAAAATTAGTTAATCAAGGGCTGAGAAGGTGGTTCAGTGGTAGAGCGCTTGCCTTGCATGCTCAAGGCCCTGGGTTCGATTCCTCAGCACCATATAAGCAAAAAAAAGAAAGAAAAGCCGGAAGTGGCGCTGTGGCTCAAGTGGTAGAGCGCTAGCCTTGAGCTGAAGAGCTGAGGGACAGCGCCCAGGCCCAGAGTTCAGGCCCCACAACCGGACCCAAAAAAAAAAAAATTAGTTAATCAATTAATTAATTTTAAGAAAGTACGAGATTGGAGAGATTCCAAAATAATCCCACTGACTCCAAAGTAAGTGGGTTAAACATCTAATATAAATGTTTATCTAATAATAGGAGGACTATCTAAGTTGAAGAGCTTTGTGAACTAAAAACACTTTTCTCATGTGTGGTAATTTTTAAAATTAAGCTCTAATATACTATTAATTCTATGTATAAGACCTCTGGAAGCTGAGACACCTTGTGTGGCCAGCAGAGGGAAAGCAGAACCAAGAATGGTGAAACCAAGTCTCTTCATATCAACTTACCTGGTATGACATTTATACAGAGGCAAATTTAATGAAGCAAATAAAATTGGTTTCCCTGTGCCTCACCTGCACAGGCACAGGTAATACTGGTTAAGTTTCTTCTTTCTAAGTTTTAAATAGTTGCACACAGGTCCTTTGTTTTCTCAGCTGTGGGCCTTCAACTCAGGGCCTGGGAGCTGGCCCTGGGATCTTCTTGCATAAGGCTAGTCCTCTACCAGTTTGAGCCACCAATCCACTTCCTTATTTCTTTTTTAAGGAAGATCAAAAAATTGTTGGTAGTATTTCCTCGCATTTGGGAAGCACTGGGTTTACTCTCCAATACCAGTAATAAAGAAAAAAGGTGAAATCAGGTTTTCCCTCGGTTTATGAATGCTTTAAAGTTGAATCCTGGGTAGGCTGGTACCTAATTTCCCACCTGCTCTCCTTCTTACTCCAAACAAATGCCAGTTTATACTATATTTTATTTCTCCTACCAAAAAATATGAAAAGTATATATCACTGAAATTTAGCTAAGTAAAACAGTTCCTCAGTCAGTCACTTGTTTTGTCCACATAAGGTTTAGAGTAAATAATCCCCTGATGATAAAAGAGGGTTTACCTGTCTGGGCACATTACAACTGGAAGGTGGAGGAATAATTCCTAGTTGATGAAAAATATTTAGGCCAAATGTATAAACACAGCCGTCTTCAGTTAATACAACAGTATGATCCTTGGCAGCCGCCACCTGGGCACAATTATGCCCACTCAGTCCTTCCACAAGCCTGGGAACCTGAAAAATAAAATTGACTTTACTACCATGTGTTTGCATTACACACTTTCATAAAATGTAGATAGGATATGTTACATGCAAAAAGGTATGGAGATATATGGCTGTATTATAAATAAACTACAGTTCAGCAAAGGGCAGATAACTTTAAAGTGATATGGACATTTGATTTATGAACAAAACAGATATAAGGCCTGTAGGAAATGCAATGGATTAATTAAAATGCTATCCAAGCCCTTACCATATAGTAACTATATGCTGTGACTACTGAGAGTGTCATGCTGACAGAGGGAGAAGGGGGAAAAGTGATGAGAATACACGCATGTCCTTCAGTGAGTAACTGAAAAATGTAATATCACATTTCTTTAATCATCTGCCTCAGGTTCAATATTTATTTCAGCTACTTAGGTAAGCTATTTGATCCCAGTCAAATTTTTAACTTCTCTGTACATTTTCCTTATCTGAAAACAGTCAGCATCCTCACCATGTGTAAAATGAAGATAATGCTTACACACTTATACTTCACCAGACTACTGACAGACAGAAGGCAATAATACATAATAAGCATAAACAATGTGTGTAACTAATCTATTATTGTAACTTTGTCCCCTTTTAAAACAGCCTTTGATAGATGATAAATATACTAGGTGTCCACCCCCCAAAATAACCTAGTGTTTGGATTTTCTGATACATAATTAATTAGGCTTCTTCTAATTACCATTAACAAAGTTTCAGTATAATAAAAATTAGTTTTATAAGTATGTAATAAAAATACTGTGTCAAGGGCTGGGAAGGTGGCTCAGTGGTAGAGTGCTTGCCTTGCATGCATGAGGCCCTGGGTTCAATTCCTCAGCACCACATAAGCAGAAAAAGCTCGAAGTGGCACTGTGGCTCAAGTAGTACAGCACTAGCCTTGAGCTGAAGAGCTGAGGGACAGCACCCAGGCCCAGAGTTCAGGCCCCACGACCAACAAAAAACAAACAAAAAGAAAAACTAAAAATACTGTCACAATTTTTAGACCATAGATACTTTAGTGAAAAATTAACCTGAATTGGATGCAGGTGACTCATGCTTGTAAATGCTCTTAGCTACTCAGGATGAGCTCTGAGGACTGCAGTTTGAAGCCAGCCCAGGCAGGAAAGGCCATGAGACTTCTACCTCTAATAAACTACTTGGAAAAAGCCAGAAATGGCACACTGTGGCTCAGAGTAGCAGAGCACTAACCGTAAGCAAAAGAAGCTCAGAGAAAGCACCCAGGCCCTAAGCTCAAGCCCTAGGACCTGCAAAAAGAAAAAAACAAAAAGCAAAAAACTGCAAAGCTCGTTTATATACTTTTCTGACTCAGTATTCACTACACATGAAATGTATTCCTTTGACACTAGCTTTATAGCTAAATCCTTAAACATTACATACCAGGAAATTGATGTGTTTAATATACTACCAATTGGTGCATTATTCTCCTGTTAGTTGGGGAAAACTTTCTAATTAACTGAAGCTCTCAGATTGTGAAAGCTTTGCTGAAGCTACCTGACCCATGAATGGCATTTCAATTACCAGGCATGTTTGCTCATCTCCATGGCCCAACCGTCCTCCAGGACCATGGCCGCAGGTGTACACTTGGCCTTTCTGAGACAGAAACACCGAATGAAATTTACAGAGCACCACCTATGGGTAAACGAGAATGCGATTAAGCTTCTAGGAACAAAACTTCTTTGTTTTATAAAAATGAATATCACTAATTGTCTAAGCGAAACAATGGGTATAAGACAATTCACTGTACTATTATTACAACTTTCCTGTAGTAAGAATTACATATACACACATATGTATCTTTTAAGTTATGCCTACAAACACTGATATTGACACAGAATGAAGTACTTTACCTTCGGAACACATTAAGTTTAAATCTTTAAAGTGTCCCTCATTTTCCAATTTAATGAAATACCAAGGAGCAAAAACAGAGCAGAGTGCAAAAAGAATAAGATTACCAAATAGTAATATGTTATTAACAAAGTAGAAAGACCTACAGTATCTTTTTTAAATAATAATTCTGCTGGGCACCAGTGGCTGACACCTATAATCCTAGCTACTTAGGAGGCTGAGATCTGAGGACTGAGGTTCAAAGCCCTAGGACCAGCAAATCATCATCATCATCATGTCACTGATAACACAGTGAAAGGATAGTATGTGCTTTTTTGCTTTTTTTGGTTGGCCATGGAGGTTGAATTTAGGGCCTGCGTGCTGTCCCTAACCTCTTTCACTTAAACCTAGGGCTTTGCTACTTTGAGCCACAGCGCCACTTCCAGTTTTTCTCATGGTTAATTGGAAATAAGAGTCTCAAGGGGACTTTCCTACCTGGGCTGGCTTTGAACCACAATCCTCAGATCTTAGCCTCCTGAGTAGTTAGGATTACAGGCGTGAGCCACCTGTGTCTGGCAGTATATGCTTTCTATATATCTAGTTTTAGCGACTATATCTCCAATACCATATTTTGACTTTAAGCAATTTTCAATTTATTTTCAAGCTTTTCTCTTTCTCACTTCCTTTTCTCTTATCTGCCTCATTTCCCGGGCTCTGCCTGCCTTCTCATATAACCACAGGACAAAGACACAAAAAATGGTAGAAGCCAGTGACAAGAAACCATACCACTTATGATTGTGCTTCTACTTACAAACCTAACCCCAGCCACAGATTCCTATTAATGCTTCTGGTAATTCATTGTCTCACACTACTTTGATACAGTTTAAAATCCTTCTCATTTTAAAAATTATTTCCACTATACTTCGGATATTAGAATATGAGTAAGACTGGGCACTGGTGGCTCATGACTGTAATCCTAGCTACTCAGGAGCTGAGGTCTGAGGATTAGGGTTCAAAGCCAGCTGGGACACAGAAGTCCATGACACTCCTATCTCCAATCAACCACTAAAAAAAACTGAGAAATAGAACTATGGTTCCAAGTGGTAGAGCGATAGCCTTAAGCACAAAAGCTCAGGGACAGCACCTAGGTGCGAAGTTCAAGCTCTAAGATTGACCAAAAGAAAGAAAAAAGAAAAAGAAAAAATATATATACATATTAAAATACTTTCCATAGTCAAGATTCTTTGGAAAAGAAAATTATAAGAATTATAAGCTCTAAATATTTAAACATATCCTTAGACCTTTTAGAGAGTTCGATAAATGTTTATCAAAAAATAAAAATAGGGGCTGGGAAGGTGGCCCAGTGGTAGAGCACTTGCCTTGCATGCATGAGGCCCTGGGTTGGATTCTTCAGCACCACATAAGCAAAAAGAAAAAAGCCAGAGTGGCGCTGTGGCTCAAGTGGTAGGGCGCTAGGCTTGAGCTGAAAAGCTGAAGGACAGCGCGTAGGCCCAGAGTTCAGGCCCCGCGACTGGACCCAAAAATAAATAAATAAATAAATAAAAGCAAAGGCCATTAGCTCATTTAGCAAGTATCTTGAAAGAAAATATAAAACACCTCCATTTACAACTACAACATAAATTTCCTAGGTAGTCACTTTATGAATCGAAAAGAATATATTTTGCTCAATTTTGTTCATTATTAGAATGAATTGTATTTAAAACAAGCAGTGAGTGCTTCCAGAGTTTAAGTCTTCCAAACTTAAAACCTCTGACTTTCTGAAGACCATCTCTGTACCAAGGCAACTGGTTACTGTACCAAGCCCAGCTTCTGCTAAGGCTCTCTATCTACCTGGTGCTCAGCAAATATTCTCACCTTGCTTCTAGTCTTCTGGCTACAATGTATGGTTTTCCTTCTCTCAAACCTATCAAACCTGCTTCACTCTCATTCTGAGGTAAATAAAGCCCCTCTGGTTTGTCACTTCATAAAATAATACAACTTGGCAGTACTGGCCAGGGCATGCACTACTCCACCCCTCACACCATCACGTTGCCACGTGGGCTATGAAGTTCTTAACACACACCTTAGATCATCAGACTCGGCTTTCCTAACCGTGCCATTATTCCTTCACCCTTGGACAAAAATCCTTGCTCCTTACAAGTTCAGGAAATCTGGTTCTAACCTTCTCATGACCTAACTCTTGTCACTCCTTAATGGTTGCTAATAATCATTTAAGAAGAATCCTGAGAGGAGCTCAGACTCATGTCTGTACACATAAGTGAAATGCAACACTGGTACATATAGTAATACACATGTAACTATACATTCCATGAGCAACACCTGCCCGCTGCACTGTAGCACAGGGCATTTGCCTCCCGGCTCTCATCACTCCTGCCCTCACATCCACTTCAGACTGACTCCTGTCCATCACAAGTCTTCCCTCACCCTGAGTGTCATGTAGGTCTGCTGAGATGGCTTACAGATCACAGATCCCTAGTTTTTATGCCAATACTGTAATTCTCCAGTCCATTTTTGTTCCTAACCTCCTGCTCCTAACCTCTCAAATGTAATATTCTCTAGAATTTAATTGTTCTTTTTCATGTTTTTAAAATTACTGATTATCATTGTATCATGGATTTTTAAAAACTAAAATTGTGTAGTATTCTACAGCAATATAGTCATATAATTTATCAATATTTCCTATAATTATTGAATTATACAAGGAAATCTAGATAAACCAGAACTGTCCTAGGTAAATCAGACATGGAGAGTTAAAAGTAGTTGTAAGACCTGACCATTTAATCTCAAAACCTGAGCTAACTGTTATTTGGACATAATATGTGAAACATTAGGTGAGAGCTGGTACATTTCAGTCCTACACTGATTCAAAAAGCGAAGAGAGAAAAAGCTCTAAGATCCCATTCTGGTTCAAGAGCAGCTAAGGGGCAGCTATGTCAACAGCAGAAGAATCAGGAGTAAAATACATCACCCAGCAGCAGACTGCAAAGACCAACATACCAGTTAAAACTATCCACTTACTTACATTGAAGAACCTGGTTTACTTATCACAAGTAACATTAGCTTCCACAAGCATGCTTAAGAAAATAGGAGAAATACTATTTTTTTAATGTAAAGGAATTTTAATTACACAAATGCACAAAAATCTACAGAATATCTGAGAAAAGAAAACCAAGAAACGGGTTACAGATAATCAGAAATACTAGTTTTTCTCAAACAGAAATAAAATTATTTGCCCACTTAAAATATGTACATTTTTTTTCATTTCTATTATTCCTTGCACAAATTCTTCATTGTATAGAGTATTGTGAACAGTCTAATATAAGGCTAACAACATTTTTTAAAAACTACAATTACTAAGTTTCTGAGAGATTTCTACATTGAAATATGTTATTGGACTTTCAGAACAGTTCAGTTCACAAAGCCCAAATACACCGCTGCAGTGTCAACAGGCAGCACTTCCTGTGGTCTGGCACATAGGGCGGCGGCGGTACCTGCTTGATGGGGACCCCGGTCCTGGAGAAGAAATCCACCAGCTCTGGGTGATGCTTGCTATTCTGACTTCCATGACCCAGCGTGAAATTCGTGTTATCACCCCAAGTGTACACATCTGTAGGATCTAACATGAAAATGTATTTTTAGATTTCTCTATTTTCAAAACATACCAGTTTAATTCTAGACATACACTGCCTATCAGTTTATCTAAAACTTGCCTCCTGACAAGAATATAACTACAGTACTCAGAAACATGCCAACAGCTTTTAAAGTATTCATTTATCAATATATTACAGAATTCTAGGAAATTCTAGAAATCAGAAAGCCCAAATAATTTTTTCAAAAAAAGCCTGTCTACAATGTAAACAATCAAGGATTTTTACTTGTTTAGCCATTGAACCTTAACTGCTAAGTGAATACACGACCACCAGCTATATTAACTTCATTTCCATATAAATATGCATAATATATTTTCAATAACTTGTTCTTGATGAGCAAAAATCACAGCAATGATTTGGGTAAGATCTTATTATACTGAGATCAAACTTAAGCTATATAAATTTTCATTTTCATCTTGAATGCTGATAAAGACCTAAAATGGAATATGGCTGTTACCTGCAATATAGCATTCCACACACAAATAAAAATGACTGCATCCTTACTTAACTTAGATGCAAACAATGCAGTACCCCACGTAAATCTCTTCTTTTCTGCCGACTCCCATTTCTAAAACCCAAGGGAAGAAACAATTTGGAGATAAGTGGAATTAAAATATGTGGGTAGATCCAGGTGGCTGGCCAGGCCTATAATCCTAGCTAGCTGGAAGGCTGAGATGGAGAAGATTATGTCTTCTAAGACAAAAAGTTAATGAGACCCCTGCTCTCGACTGAAAAAAGCTGGGTGTACTACACCAAACCTGTAATCACCTAGGCTAGGAAACATGAACAGGCAGATTGCTGGCTATGTGAAACCCAAGGGATTAAGTGCAACCCTATCTCAAAAAATAACCAGCCCAAAGGGCTAAAGGCATGGCCCAAGTGGTAAAGTACCTACCTAAACTCTAGTACTACAAAAGAAAAATCAGGGGGAGGAAGGAAGGTCTGGGTAATACCACACATCTGGAAGAGTGAGGTAAAGGAATATAGGGGAGTGTATGAACTTGTTCAAAATATGCTATATGCATCTACAGAATTTTCACCATGCCACTCCCTGTGCTATCAATATATACTAAACAAATAAGTACTTTTTTTAATATGTGGGCATAATTATTTCTCTTTTTCTCCATCTACCTCAAATGCTGATACTATTTTCTGGGTGTTCATTAATTATAATAGCTACAATTCTAACTACCTGTTTTTTACTGTTGTAGACAAACAAATAGAAATTGAAAAACAAAAAATAAACTTTTCTGAATATAATACCAAAATAAACATATATCAAAATAGAAGTTCTTTCAACATAAAGATAAGTCTCTCCTACTATTTCAAATAGAATAAAATTTCATTAAAATTCTTTAAGCTGAACATAATATATTGGTGGACTTTTCTTACCAGTATTCTTGAATACTACATGAGCTGGTCTATCCTTCATTAGAAGATCCAAAGGTGACAGGCCTTCTTTATCTTGCATATACAAACTAACACCATGCTTTAAAAAAAAAAAAGAGGGTAGGGGAGAAAAGTGTATTTTATCAATTTAACTATAATTAATATCTTATTCTTAAATATCAAAGTCATGTGGCCAATAAAACCACTGAAATAAGAAAAAGACTCGCATAGGCTTTTCTGGCCAGGCCGGCTTTGAACCATGATGCTCACTCAGATATCATCCTCCTGAATAGCCAGGATTATAGACTATGGGCTCCCAGCAGGAATTTATCACTATAATTCAAATAAGAAACAAAAATATTTTGTCTTGAGCTGGGAAGGTGGCTCAGTGGTAGAGCACTTGCCTTGCATGCATGAGGCCCTGGGTTCGATTCCTCAGCACCACATAAGCAAAAAGGAAAAAAAGCCGGAAGTGGTGCTATGGCTCAAGTGGTAGAGCGCTAGCCTTGAGCTGAAGAGCTGAGGTACAGCGCCCAGGCCCAGAGTTTAGGCCCCACGACTGGTCCCCCCCCCAAAAAAGAAAATATTTTGCCTTGCTTGTTCCTGTATTCCATTCATCCCATCATGGAATAAAGGAGCCAGAGAAAATTACATAAAATATGCATCATTAGTACAGCTTTTCATAAGCAACAAATTTCTTCTAAGATTTCATGTCAGGAGCGTCTAACCTTCTAAGGTTTAGTAATCAGTACCTGACAGTATATATTTATTGTACTGTACTTTGGCACTTAAAGATTTTATAGCTTTGAAATTTTATCAAATCTAAGTTCACTTAAATTTTCTACGAGTATATGGGCTGATTCACAATACCTGAAACACCGTATAGATAACAGGTGTCATCTATAACATGAAAGCCCTCAATGAAGAACTAGCACTGTGCTCCTTCCCATGACAGGTGAGTTGGAAGACCAAAGAAAGATGTACTGAACAAATCAGACAGCCTCCTTCCAACATGAGAATACTAAGCGGGTAGAAGAGGCTTTTGTGGGAATACTTCAACAATAGAAGTCACCCACTGCTGGGGTATCTATCTAGCTAAGATGCTGAGAATGACTTAAGAATCTATTAAAAGGACATGAAATTCCAAAGGAAGGGAAGGACTAAAATTCAGGCCAGATCACAATCATTTCAAACTGAAGCTCTGACACATGAAAGGCAACCCCTTCAGCAGAAATATTCAGAGATAAACGAGGTAGGGGGTAATAATATATGACAAGAAATGTACTCACTACCTTACATATAACCACTCTGTACATCACCTTGACAATAAGATTAAATTTAAAAAGGAATCATTCACTAGATACTATACACTTGGACATTACATTTCTAGAAGCTTAAATAAAAAGGATGTACAGAATTTCAGTTCCAAAGATGAGTTACAATACTAGGATAGATGAAGCATGGTAAAAGCAAATACAACTCGTGCTTAGAAAGTGGGATATACGAAAAAGACTGAGAAAAAGATACACTGCACTAAACATGCTTCCAGTTTTAAAAATGACATTACCTTCAACAGAGACCAAGCACAATCAATATGTCCATAAAAAATGCTTCGGTGCAGTGCGGTCCAGCCGGACTCCTTGTCCCTCACCAGTGGGTCTGCTCCTTTCTCCATAAGCCAATCCAACACACCCTTCTTGCCACAGGAGGAAGCAAGGTGGAGGGCATTTCTGCCAAAGGCATCCTTGGTAGTCGCAGCATTGTAACAGTGACTGGAGAGAAAGGCCTTGATCTGGTTTTCACTCCCTTTTGTTATAGCAGAAAGGATGTCCAAAGCATGCTCCAAGGACCGGCATCGAGCAGTGCAGTCAGGGACGGGAGAATTCATCCTAACTGTCTGTACACTGACTACTTCTTCAGAACAGTCACGGAAGACTGATTTTTTTTTAATGCAAAAGAGGGCACAAAGGTGCTATTTAGGAAGAATTCTAGAGAATAAATGACTTCTCTCTTTGGATTATAATTTAAGTTCTTACAATAGTATAAAACTATATATCTCTGTATGATCCTTTTGGCACATAAATCAAAACCTATAAATAGTTGTATAAAGTTTATATCAAATACAAGTTCTTTATTAAAAAAAAACCAATTCCACAGTTTGTAAGTTATTCCTGCAGTGGAGCACCAAGGGGGAGTGAGGAGGGGAACTCCCCCTCCACACCCTCTGAGCCTTTTAAATCTCCATAATTGCAAGGGTGACCTAGAAGAGGAAGAAAGACAAAGTGAAAATACAAATCTCTCGTTCTCCTCAAGTACTGTAGACTCTAGGTATCTATGGGTGCGTGGCTCCACACAGCCCAGAACTGAAACATCATGAATGCTCAGGAGGCAGCACTGGTCTGTGGTGGCTGTATATGCATCTTCCCCATACCACCTCCCAACTAACTTCCACTACAAACAGGCTGCCTTTCAACAAATCCTAAGATGTTCACTCCATCTCTTAGAGTACATGATGTGCTTTAGGGGTCTTGTGGTGGGAGGGGGGAGCAGTACTAGGATTTCAACTCGGGGCCTTGTGCTTACCAGCACTGAACTCCACTCCCAGCGCTGTGTTTCCTTTAAGAGGACCTGAAAAATCTTTATTTCTGAAATTTCTTTATTATCTTTTGATCACTTCATCAAAACTTTCCATAATAAATCTACAGAGAAGGTAGGCTTACTTGACAATAAAAGTACCTCTAGATTTAAATGCCCTGAATTCTTACCTTGAAAAAAGCTATCAACTTTTCACCTTTGTGTACAGTATCTGCAGTAACATCAGTCACCCTCACCCTGCCTTATACCCTTTGTGGTTAAGGTTAACCTCCACATCTGTATCTCTCTTGCTTCTAGAACCTTCGTTCTCTGTATTTTTATGCTCTACAAGCTATCCCCCTAGAAGCTATTAACACGTAAGTCTACCCCTCAAGCTCATAATTCCCATATCTGCGTCCTGCCCTAGATGTATCCTCACTCCTGGCTCCACATTTATAGTGCCTATTGTAAGTCTTCTTTGAGGGTCAGGTGCTGTGGCTCACATCCGTAACCCTATCTACTAAAGAGGCAGAGATGATGTTCAAGGCCAGCCTGTGCAAAACAGCTCACAGGACTCCAGTCTCAACCAAACCATGTTAGGAGCAGAGGCGTGAGTGCCTGTCATCTGGGATCCTCAGGAAGGATAATTAGGGAGGTTGAATTCCAGACCCACTAGACACAAACCCAAGTTCTATCTGAAAAGCAAAAAGGGCTAGGAAGTGGCCCAAATGGTAGAGCACCTGCCTAGCAAGTACAAGCCCCCAGTACCTTTAAAGTGGAAGAAAACAACGAAAATAAGCATTAATCTATAATATGCCTAGGTATTATACATCACAGCTATTAAATAAGCCATCTAAGAAAGACACTAGAAAAGAGGTCAGAACCAAGCAGCCTATCCAAAAATCACACAGGTGGAGTTCTGTAGGCCCTGCCTACTCTGCATTATCTCACTGCTCTCTCAAAATGCAGTTAGGAAATTTCCAGTAAGTAATATACTGTAGCAGAGAAAAATTTTGGTTATAAGAACTGGAATGCAGCCTGGCCACGGGTGGCTTGTGCCTGTAATCCTACCTACTCAGCAGGCTGAGATCTGAGGATCAGTCAGAAGCCAGCCTGGGCATGGAAGTCCATGAGACTCTTATCTCTAATTAACCACCAAAAAGTCAGACATGGAGCTGTAGCTCAAATGGGAGAGCCACCAGCCCTGAACAAAAAAAGCTCAGGGACTGCACTTGGGTCCTGAGTTCAAGCCCTAGGGCCAGCATACACAAAAAAAGAACTGGGATGCAAAAGCTATAAACCATGACAATCTAAAACTAATCCCCTTAAATCCTTGATTTGTGAAATGACAGTAATGCCTTAGAAGTGTGTATCTTGCCTACCTCCTTGAGGGGAGGTACAAATTACCCCAGACTTCTCACAAAATATAGTAGGTAGTTAATTGTTCTTTAAAAATGGATTTTAAAATGCAAACACAATTTTAGGCAATTAGTAATTTAGGTTTATTGATGTATTTTCTTCAAATGCTTTCTCAAATAGTCTGTATATGAGAGTCACAAGCTTCAGTGCAATGCTTTACCAGTTCTGTACCTAGTTTTACAAGAGAAAACTGCTCCAAATCATAGGGACTAAGCATACCTAAATATGGTTTTAAAAAAAAAGATCGCACTAAGAAAGAAAACTGGTTTTATACCCTTTGTAATAACAAGTAGTACTGTGCTTTTTTATTATCTACTGAATTTTATAGCCCTAGATTTGGGGAATATGCAGTAAGTCAACACAGAATTTCACGTTAGATCTTCATAATTTCTTCATACAACTTAAAATTTTTAAAATTTGTCTTCAACGGTGCAACTCAATTTTTGTAAATATCTGCAATATAATCCTATAGTTTCTATCTTCACCTACCTACCACACTTCAGTTTGTAAGACAAAAATTCAAGGAAATCAAAATAGAAAAAGGGAAATGATCGAGAAAGCCTGTAAATTATGGGCAGATACACTAATCACTTGTACACTCTTTCAGTGTACTTTGTTTCTTGAAAAAGTAATCTTACTAAATAACCTAGTCTGGCCTTGAACTCTTGACCCTCCTTTCTGAAACTGAAATTACAGATGTGGGCCACCCCATGTACCACCTAGTAAATTTCTAATTCGAAGCATAAGATATATTGCTCAGTCTCTGCTTCCTGAAAAATATCCTAATATCTGGCTAACACATACTTGTGTGTGTGTGTGTGTGTGCGCGCGCGCGCGTGCAAGCGAGTACAATCCAGGTGGTTGAACTCGGGGCCTGTGCCCTGTGTACTGTCCCTTAGTTTTTTGTTTTCCTCTCAAGGATGGTGTTCTACCACTTGAGCCACACTTCAGTTCCGGATTTGCTAGTAGCTGACTGAAGCTAAGAGCCTCGGGAGACTTTCCTTCCCGGGCTGGCTTCCAACTGCGATCCTCAGATCTCAGCCTGCCTCTTGAGTAGGTAGGATGACAGACGGGCAGGACGCTGGGCACCCGGCTCCACCGCTCAAGTTTTACGGACTTTGGAAAGCAGGAATTGCTGGGGTTATCTAGTGTCGCTCCCATCTGGATGAAAACCATTTCGACCTGCCGGCTGACCACCACCGAACGGCCCCTCTCCGGTCTCCCGACCTCCTCCCCGCAGAACCCCGAGTGCGCTCAAAGTTTGAAAAACTAAGGGCTAGGTTAAGGGTGGGGGGACAGGGGTACCGAGCCCCAGGCCCGTGGGAGGGAGGGCGGACGGCCTCCGAGGAGGGCGTGTCGGGCCGCCGCCACGTCACCCGGCCCCGGGCCCCGCCATTCATCAGCGCAGGGGAGGCCGGGACACCCGGAGGGGACGCGGGAGGCCGGGCAGGGAGGTCCGGAGGAGAGGCCAGCGGGCGGCCCGCGTGGAGGGGCGCGATGCCCTGGGCCCCGCCGGACGCTGCCCCCTCCGGGCCCGCGCCCTCGGGGAGCCCGCAGCCCGCCCGCACCAGGGGCTGGCGGGAGGCCGCCGCCTGCGCGCGCTGGCCGCGGTAGCCCCCTCACCAGTCGCTAGATGAGGCGGCGTCGCTGGTCCCCGCGGAGTGGGCACGCGGCCGTCCGGGAGCTCATCGTCAGTGGTAGCCGACCGCGAAGCCGAAGGGCGCCAGGCCGTCCGAAGCCGTCAACGTGGAGCCGCCGACTCCGCGAGCGCCGGGACAGGGGAGCCGGGAGAGAGAGGGGGAGGCCGGGGGCGGTACTCCGGAATAACACACGCGTTGATTGGCAGACGCTCTTGTATACGTCTCGGTGATTGGCTGAGGTTCGTGTGTGCCTCTCGGTGATTGGTTGGCGCCTGCCCACAATGCCTAGCGTGGCAGCACCAGCCATTCTCCGGCGCTCCAGAGGAACTTGACCCGCCGGGCCTGAGCGGGGGTGGGGGACGGACGGGGTCGAGGGTAGGGCAGGGGTCAGGATGTCGGGGGGTCGGAGGGTTCAGAGATGACTGGGGCCTTAGGGCGGGCGAAGGGCGCGTGGGGTCGTGGGCCCGGGGTCGGGCGCGGTGTCCGGGGTCCGGGCCGCGTTCCTGCCCGGCTCCCCCGCGCGCGTCTTTCCCCCCCACCCCCGGCTCGGCTGTGGGGTCCCCGGAGAAGCACGGGTCGGGTGTTTCTCAGCGCGTGCGGACCCCACGCCCCGGGCTCGCGCGTGCGCCCGGCCTCCCCCTCGGTGGCCTCGGTGCCCGCCACCAGCCGCTGCCCGGGTCACGGCGCGCGGTGCCAGGCGCCAGGCTGGCACACTGGGTTCGCTCCGTCTCCCCGGGAATCAAAGGGCCATTTTTAAGCTGCTGGGGGCAGAGGGGGAAGGGAACCGAGCGGGGACGCCGCCCCGGGTGGCACTCGGTAAACACCGGCCCGGGGCAGGGCGGTGCCGCGCTCGGGAGCCACCCCCGGGAGACTGGAGTGGGCTGCGGCGCCTCCGCCGATCCCGCGTCCTCCCGGCGCTCCGAGGGCCGGTCCCGCGGCGTCCCTCGTTTTGTAGCCTTCGCGGCTGACCCCGAGCTGCTGCACGGCTGCCTGGCCTGGGAGGAAAGGAGATGATGGGAGGTGACCAGGCCGGCGCCCCTCTTCTGTCCAGCACGGGGGCGGGGGGTCTCTGCTTTCCTACTCCTTCCTGGACACAAGGAAACCCCATCCATGCCAGGCACCTGTAATCCTAGCCACTCAGGAAGCTGAGCATCTGAGGAACTCGATTCAGAGCCAGCCTGGGCAGGAAAGTCTGTGAGAGACTTTTATCTCCAGTTAACCAGCAAAAAGCTGGAAGTGTAGTTGGGGTTCAAGTGGTAGAGCACCAGCCTTGAGCTAAAAAGCTCAGGGATAGTTCCCCTGGCCATGAATTCAAATCCCATAACCAACACGCACACACATACACTAGTATAAAACTGAACAAACAAGTTGAAAAGAGGCATGCATGAAGCCAGTAATGACAATAAGAATATAAATGAATTGTGTCCAGATGTTTTTTTACTGGTCTCTTGAATCAGGGCAAGTTAATTCGCTTTTCTGGGGCCTCAATTTCCTCATTTGGGAAGTGGGAACAATAATATATGGGGGGGGGCGTTTAAAATGTACTGTAATAAGAAAGATATAGCACTTAGCGAAGTGCCTAGCACACAGTAACACTGACCAAACATTTGTTTGAAGTTATTAACAGCCCAGTTATTCTGAGTTGTCATTTATTCATCTAAAACTTGCCAGTTGTCAGGCCCTGAAAAGAATGTATAGCCATAATGCAAAAGAAATAAATTGCAAGCTTCACAAGTATGCCAGAGCCAGGCACAGGTGGCTCACCTGTAACCCTAGCTACTCTGGCTGAAATATGAGGATTGCGGTTCAAAGCCAGTCCAGGCAATCACATCCAAGAGACTCTTATTTCCAGTTCACCAGCAAAAAAAAAAAAAACCAACACTGGAAGTGTGGCTCAGCAATAGAGTATCAACCTTGAGTGGGAAATAAATGGGGGCAGGAGGAGAGAGGAGGGAAGCCCTGAGTTAAAACCCCAGGGCTCAAATGGTAGAGTGCCAGCCATGTGCAAAAAAAAAAAAAAAAGGCTGAGAGCTGAGGCCGAATTGAAGCCCCAGCCCAGACATGCACATGAACTAGTACAGCTTGGAATACACCTATAACAAGGTTTATTCTGTGCTGTGAGATTATGAGCAAATCTTTTATTTTCTGTCATTTTGGAACATTACAATAAATATTATTTGCTTAAAGTTTGGAAAAATACCTGGGATTTATAAAGTATACTTGAAGAAATAAAACTAGGGATGGCTTAGAAAGTTGGGATGATTTTTGTAAGAGTTGGTGGGAGTGGGGTCTGGGAAGGTGGCTCAGTGGTAGAGCGCTTGCCTTGCATGCATGAGGCCTTCCATTCAATTCCTCAGCACCACATAAGCAGAAAAAGCCGGAAGTGGCGCTGTGGCTCAAGTGATAGAACGCTAGCCTTGAGCTGAAGAGCTGAGGGACAGTGCTCAGGCCCAGAGTTCAGGCCCCATGACCGACCAAAAAAAAAAAAAAGTTGGTGGAAGGAAATCAGTCATTAAATAGGGAGCACAGCAGAAATGATAAGCCACACCACATCTGTAATAAACTCCCAAGATGCCATTTTCCCAGGTAAATGAAGTACTTCCATTTTGAAAATGCAAACTCATATACAGTATTGTACCTCAGGTTCTGTAGGGGAGCAGAGTAATGGTGCCCTACCTACTTCAGCTAAGCTGCAGAAGAGAGAACATAAGAACATGCAGAGAAATCCAGACCTCATTAGGAAAGTCAGTAACTGGCCTAGAAATGACGAGAACTTTCTTATTAGTTTTAAGCCTTATTTTCTTCTCCATCTCCCATGGGAGAGCACTGGGCAAGCTATGGCTTTTCTGGTGCACACTTGAGCTTTGCCATTAGCAAAGGTAATGCTCACTACCACATGCACAAAATCTGATTGTGATTGGCTGGGATTTGAAGAGGAGTTCAGGCAGTCCTCATTGAGAGTCTCTATTAGAGTTATACAAATGAATCAGTGAGTACTCAATTCCCCTTAAGAAGGCAAAATAGTAGGTGAATCATAGATGGTACTTATCTATATAATAAGCACCCTTCAAATTCTGTCTTTTAAGGAACCACCTCCTATCAAGTCTAAATGAAGCCATCTCCAACGGCACTCCATACTATTGTAACTGTGGTGACACCGTTTTGATTTTAGATGTGAAACAAATGTTTTACACGTAAATGTGGTTAAAAACAAACAAACAAACTAAGGACCCCAGAGACAAGCTATCAGATTATTAAGTGCTAGTCCTATTCTTGTAGCTATAAGACCTCAAAACAAGTTACATAAGCCTCCTCACCTTTAAAACAGGCTTAAGAAGTACGTCTTTCATAAAATTAGTGTGAAGCTTAAATGACACGGTAAACACTTGTCATATAGCTTTTAGTGTTCTATTGACATAAATTCTTCTGACTGGATTAAACATTTGGATTCAGTGCAACGTTGTTTGAAAGGATGGGGAGACACAACAGCCACAAGATGGCAGTGTTGTAATACAACATTCAAACTACTCAGAAAGCGTGAATACGTCTTAGGAAACGAAGGCAACAAATACTGGGGAAAACAAGCAAAATTGAACAAAATCAATTCAATCAACTAGGGAGGCAAAATATTCAATTGTAATCAGAACACTCTGAACTCCCAAAACTCTTGTTGACTAGTTGAGTTGTGTTCTTTTCTCAGCTCATCAAATACAAAATTGCTTCTATTTCTTCTCTACTTAATTAAATGTTGGAATGTGAAAACATGGGAATGAAAAGGAGAAGGGAAGGAAGAAGAGAGGGAGGGAGGAAAGGGAAGAGAGAAAAGAGAAGACAGGAGGAAAGAAAAGGATCTGAAATACACAGATAAGCACAAAACCAAGAATCACCAGGTAAACCTTGGGATAAATGCAAAGTTGACTGTGTCTGGAAAAATCAAAATCAGATTGCTGGAATGCAATCAAAGGGAAATGGAAACCATTCAGATAAAAGTATTACAGAGAAAAGGAAGAGTGATTTGAATCACCAAATTTCATGAAGACAAATGACATTTTCAGAGAAGCAAAAACTAAGAGAATGTGTCACTCCCAGAACTGCCCCACCAGGAGTGCTCAGGGAAGGCCTTTCATCTGAAGGTGTCCTTTCGCTTCTAGATGGAAACTGGAAATTTCAGGCTGGAAGGAAGAGAATAGTAATGGAAATGTTTGGTTCTCTTTATTCACAGATACCTGCTTTCCAGTTCTCCCAGTTGCCACATTTTTATTTGTAACCCCCAAATGAATATGCAACTGGAACTTTTAGATGCCCCAAACCCAAACTCCAGGAGTTCTACATGTCATGTTTGACCATTCTCCCCCACATGACAGAGAGGCATGGGAAAGGGCAAAGAAAGATTTTATTACGTGGCACCACAGTTCAGCCCATCTTCTTCAGCCATCTTCAGGGTACAGACACGAGCTATACAAAATTAGACAAGGAAGGGGGCAGGCAACAAAGAGAAGCAGAGTTAAACAGTCCAAGTTGGGCCTGGGTGATGATCATTATCTCAGTCTTTGTCTCTGGTCAGGTTGTGGAAAATTTGTCAGCACTTCATTACTCCAGGGGAATCGAATCCGTCAGTCACCCTTGCCTGGTGAATGGTCTGCCCTGAGCTTTCTAACTCTCCTCTTCATTAGGCACAGTTTTGCCTTTTTTCACCAGCTTACCCTAGGAACACATTGCCTTTCTAAGAGTCAGTCAGCTACCTCAGGAGAGAATGGCTCGAGTCACAATGGACATCCCAAAGCAGGGGCTGAGTGTCCCACTAAAAGCAACACAGGCTTTCTGTGAATTCCTAGGCCCAGCCAAGCAGTTTTTGAGCACCTCTTACAAATTCAGCCTTGCACAACAGCAAAATAATTGTCCAAGTGCACCTTGCCAAGGAGAGGGAACAAGGTGAGGCTCTCTGCGTCTCCTTTGTCTCACACACTGTATACTCACACATCTTCTCGTGGGCTGTGAAGTGCCACCACATTTGCTTTCCTGTGTGTGCCTTTTCTTGGTGATTTCACTTTTTAAAGTAGTCCTCAGCCTGCTCTTCCACTTCTGAGAATGAGGAGCGATGCTTACAAAATGGACCCGAGCAGGTGTCTGGAGACACGTG